GGAAGAGAGAAGGCCTCCAAGACAATGCAACTTGCAAAAGGGAAAGTTTATTGCTGACTCGAGTCAGGGCTCCTGCCGCATCCAACGCAGTGGTGCGGGTCAGAGAGCCCCGAGCCCAAGCTGTTACACAAATTTATAGGGTGAGCACACGCCGTTGGTAGTTGGTTTAAGCGGAGTGGTTACAAGTTTGCAAAGCAATTTCATTGGTCAAAACTTTCGCACGCGCGGGACTTTCCTGGGGGTTTCCGCCCCGTTCCTAATTTCCTAATTGGCAAACAGTGGTCAGTGTTAAGCGAAAGCTGATTGGTTGTATCCAGGTGGCCTGATAATCTTACCACCCAGAAGTAGGAAGGCCTACTCCTAATCTAAGCTGCCTGCCATGGCGTTACTTCTGCTCACCTCACAGGCATCATGACGGGTCATGTGACCTTCTGTTTCCCAGCTGATAGAAGAGTTACGTTTATGCTCTCCTGTAGTCTAGGAAGTGTGCAGTGGCACGATTTCTAGAACACACACCCTGGGACTTCCCTGGTGGTCCAGTGGTCAAGAATCCACCTTGGAATGCAGGGTCACGGGTTCAATCCCTGGTTGGGAAACTAAGATTCCCACGTGCTGTGAAGCAGCTAAGTCTGTGCTCCACAACCAGAGAGCCTGGATGCCACAACGAAGACCAGTGCAGCCAAAAAAATAAAGCAAACAAACCCACACCATGCATATAGCCTAATTTAAAAATGTTTTATTGCTAGGAGAATGGATACGTGTACATACATAGTGGGGGCGCTTTGCTGTGCACCTAGCTATTGTTAATCACAGCTTTCCTCCGTATAAAATAAAAAGTTTAAATAAAGAAAGTTTTGTTGCTGAAAAATTCTAACCCTCTCAGGAGCTGTTAGTAAAGACCACTGATATCACAGGTCACCACAACAGACAGAATGACGAAGAAGTTGGAAACACCGTGAGAATTACCAGGATGTGGTATGGAGACAGGAAGTGAGCAAAAGCCGCGGGAAAACGGGGCCTGTAGGCTTTCTTGGTACAGGGTTGCCGCCAGCCTTCAGTCTGCGGGAAAAAAGGCCAGATATTTGCCAAGCACCGTAGAATGAGTATGCCCATCCTTGAAGAGTCCCGTTTGATCAGCTGCATCTCAGCTGACACCCATGAAAACATCACCACCTCCCAGGACAACAGTCACCTCCTTTGTCCCCAGAAGTGTCCTGTGCCCCTTTGGGAATGACTTGTCCAGAGCCTGCAGCCGCTGTGGACCTGCTCTTGGTCACCACAGATTCATTTGCATTTTCTAGAATTTTACGTAAATAGTATCATGCGCTATGTACTCTTTTGGTCTGGCGTCTTTCACTCAGCTTTTTGAGTGAAATCTTTTGAGACTCATCCACGTTGTAGTTTGATCCAGTCATTGGTTCCATCTTGTTGCTGAGCAGTCGCCCTGGTTTGGGTGAGCCGGCCTGCTCCTCCATCCCCTGCTGGGGACCACTGGGAGGTTTCTGGTTTGTGGTCGTTACAAACAGCGGCTGGAACAGATGTGTCTGGTCTCAGGCGGGCACGTGCTCCTGTTTCTCTAGGGTTGGTACTGGGGCATGGCTGCATTGTACAGTTGGTGTCCATTGGAATTTTCAAGCCAAACCGCTCTCCAGGGTGGCCCTACCGCCTGCAAGCCCGCCCACCACAGATGAGATTTCTGGTTCCTCCACATCCTTGCCAGCACTTGGCACTGTCAGTCTCTTGAGTTTTAGCCATTCTTACAGGTAGTGGAGTCTCACATACACGTGCTTACCTGCCATCTGTATGTCTTCTTTGGTCAAGTAGCCTTCAAATCTTTGTATATTAAAAATAATTGGATTATTTGCTGTTATTCAACTTCGAGAGTTTTTTTTTTAAATCTAGTCTGGATAGAAATTATTTACCAGGTACAGGCTTTGCAAAGGTTTTTCTCCTAGTCTGTGGCTTGTCTTGAGAATCTATATTCTGATTTATTTCTGGCCGTGCTGTGTCTTTGCTGCGGCACATGGGCCTCCTTTGTCTGCAGTGAGCAGGGGTGGCTCTCCAGTCATGGGGCACAGGTTTCTCCCTGGGGTAGCTCCTCGTTTGGGGGCACAGTTTCTGGGGCTTGCGGGATTCTGTGTTTGTGGCACACGGATGTAGTGCCCGCAGCATTCAGGGTCTTCCTAGCCCAGGGACTGAACCCGTGATCCTGCCTTAGCAGGTGGTTTGTGTTTTTAATCCTGAATAGTATCTTTCAGAGAGTTGAATTTTTTTTTCTTTTAACTAATTTGTTTTTTAATTGAATGATAATTGCTTTACAGACTTCAGTTGTTTTCTGTCAAACCTCAGCATGAACCAGCCACAGGTGTACATATGTCCCCTCCCTTTTGAACCTCCCTTCCACCTCCCTCTCATCCCACCCCTCTAGGATGGTACAGAGCCCCTGTTTGAGTTTCCTGAGCCACACAGCAAATTCCCGTTGGCTTTTTACACATGGGAATGTAAGCTTCCATATTAGTCTCCATACATCTCACCCTCTCCTCCCCTCTGTCTGTTACAAAGTTTGTTCCCTATGTCTGTTACAAAGCTGAAGTTCTTAATCTTGACAAAAGCTAGTTTGCCAAGTTTTCTTCTATGAATTGTGCTTCCAGTGTCGTATCTAAGAAATCAGATTTTCTCATTATGACGTGACCCCCGCTTTATCCCTAATGGGATCCTTCGCTCCAAAGCCCTCTTTGCTGATGTTGACACTGCCGCTGCCTTTTCCTGCTGTGTGTTTGCACGTCTTTTCCTGTCCTTTTACTTTCAATGATTGTACTTTTGTGTTTAGCGTGGGTTTCTCCAGGGCTCACTCGTTCGCGCAGCCTGACCCCGGGCTGGGTTGTCCGCTAGTCTCCTTGGGGTCTCGGAGGCTGCACTGACCTGGTCTGGCCTGGGTCGGTTGGCGCCTGCCGCCTTGTTAGTTGCTCCTCTTTCTCCCACCGCTTCTGCCTCGCTCTGCACCCACCGAGTGGCTTTCGGGACTCAGGCTACCTCCTTCGCTGCTGCTTTGCCGTGGTTCTTCATCTTGGTTTTTAGTCGCTTTCAGGGTCAGACCCACCTTCAGAGACCCGGCGTGTGAGGGGAGACCCCGAAGTGCCGACCTCCCGTCCCCCCACCCCCGCACTCTGTGAGTGGCACTTTCACACCTTTCAGGGTTAGTGTTGTTGTTTAGTTATCTTCTAAAGAGATTTAAATAAAATGAGCAAAAAATCCTAAATATCCTGTATTTACCCGTGTGACCACCATCCCAGCCGCTTCCATCTCTGTGTGACCACATGCTACCACTGGGAGTCATTTCCTGCCGCCCAGAGGATGGGCGTGAGCCTCTCCTGTGCGATGGCGGCTCGGAGAACACCCTCCCTTTGCCTCTGTTTTTGGACAGTGCTTTGCAGAATGATCACTTTCTTTGTTCTGCTGGGTCTTCATCTTCCCTGTGCTCCCCAGCTCCCTCACCCTGGCTTTTTATTTTGGCCACATCCCATGGCATGTGGGATCTTAGTTCCCTGAGCAGGGATCAGACCCATGGCCCCTGCATTGGACGTGTGAAGTCTTAGCCACTGGACTGCCAGGGAAGTCTTTTTCTTTAAAAAGTGGTTTATGTGGCGGTACCAGGGCTTAGTCACGGCACGTGAGATCCCCTTTTTAATGAATTAACCAGCTGTGCTGGGGCTTCGTCGCTGGGCGAGAGCCTCTCCACCTGAGCCAGGGCTGCCCTCGAGTCCCGTGTGCGGGCTTTTCACGTCGGTGGCTTCCCGTGTCACGGAGCACAGGCTCTGGGCACTCAGGCTCAGGAGTTGTGGCTCATGGGCGGGGTCGCCCTGCGGCATGTGGGATCCTCCCAGACCAGGGACCAAACCCGCATCCCCCGCCTGCCTGGCAGGCGGGACTTCGGGGAAGCCCCAGGCAGGGTGTCGGGTCTTTGCTGTGGCACATGGCGTCTTTAGCACGGCGTGTGGGACCCCGTCCCCTGAGCAGGGATGAGCCAAGGCCCCTGCATCCGGAGTGCGGAGGCCTAGCCACTGGACCACCAGGGAAGTCCTTCCTTTTAGAATCTTCTTGTCACTGGTTCTGAGCAATGTGATGACTTGTCTCGTGTAGTTTTCTTCATGTTTCTTGAACTTGGGGCTGTTGAATGTTTCGTGTCTGTGGGCTTCTGGTTTTCATTATTCTGAACAAATTTTGGCCATTATTTCTTCAGTCTGTTTCCTGTCCTCTCTCCATTGTGGAATCAGCTGCACATAAATTAAACTGATTAAAGTTTCCCCACTGCTTACTCCGGAGCTGTTTGTTTTTTGGCTTCCTCTGTCTTCCTGTGTTTTCTCTCGGATGGTTTTCATCGCTGTTCTTCAGGCTCACTAGTCTTTTCCTCTGTGGGGTCTAAGCGGGTGTTAATCCCTCCGGGGTGCTTTTCATCTCCTGTGCGGTCATGGTTTCCATCCCTAGAATTGTAATTTGGATTTTATATATATATATCTTCCTTGTCTCTACTTAACATGGTCAACCTATGCTTATTTTCTATGCTTTTTGAATTGCTGCTGCTGCTGCTAAGTCACTTCGGTCGTGTCCGACTCTGTGCGACCCCATAGACGGCAGCCTACCAGGCTCCTCTGTCCCTGGAATTCTCCAGGCAAGAATACTGGAGTGGGTTGCCATTTCCTTCTCCAGCTTTTTGAATTGAACACAGCAAATATAATTTTTAAATTAAATTTATTTTAATTGGAGGCAAATATAACTATTTTAACATCCTTGTCTGCTCATTCTAACATCCATGTCAGATTTGGGCTGGTTTTGAATGACTGATTTTTCTCCTGATTGTGGGTTGAATGGTCCCTTTTCTCTGCCTTCCTGGGGTACGTCTTGATTGGATGCCAGACACTGTGACTTTTGCCCTGTGGGGCCAGGTGTTTTGGCCTCCTCTGCATCTTGGGCTCTGTGTGGGACACGGCCGAGGCTCGCAGATGCCGTCTGGTCCAGCAGGTCTTGTGCTGGTGGGCCACCGGTGGGACTGGCGCAGTGCTCTGTGGGCAGGGCCGGGGCCGTCTGCCCACTGCACTGTGATCCTGGGGTTTGCCAGCGTGGCCTGGGGGCTGCTCCCTGCCCGTGGGGGCCCTGGCTGTTGTTCCCCGGTCCTCGCAGGTGGCTCCTCCCAGCTTGGGCACATCCCTCACTTGCGTGCCCTGCCCCGTGGGGCTCGGGGTTCTGCCTGCCCAGGGCTTGCTCCGTGTAGCCCCGTCTTCTCCGGCATCCCCTGAACCCCACCTACCTTGTCCGCAGGTGTCTCAGCCCCCTCCCCATACCTGGTCCTGGTAACAGTTTCAGGGCAGCGACCAGGACTGTAGGTGGCACCCACCTCGTGCGTGCCCATCTCCTCTGCGTTCCCTGTTCTTCACTGCCTGATGTCCAGTGTCTTGACCACAGTCAACCTCACATATTTTTTCCCATCCTTTAGTTGTTAAACCTTGTAATGTGGTTCACAGTTGCTGACAGAATGTGGGGAAATGCAGAGAAGTGGCCAGAAGGAAGGCACTGCCCCATGGAGCCCCCTGCCCACACCCACGCTGTCAGCATGGGCCCTTCAGGGCATCTCCTCCTGGCTGTTTTCTGAGTGAGGCGTCGGGCAGCACCACCAGGACGCCCGTTTTACTTTTCCAAGGTGAGTGCCCACCTTGGTGTTTATCACCTCCCGGTTCTAGAGGCTGAGGTCTGAGCTCCAGGCCTCAGCAGAGTTGACTCCCGGAGGCTGGGAGGAGCGTCTGGTCCATGATCTGCCCCTCACCGCAGTGCTTCCTGGCCACCTTTGGGGTTCCATTGCTGGTGGACACATCACTGCCTGCATCTGCCTGCATCCTCAGGTGGCATTCTCCCTCCGTGTGTCTAACTCAAATGCCCCCTCTTTTTATGAGGCCACCGCCGTGTGGGTGAGGGCCCACCTGTTTCACTGTGACCTTCCCTGAAGTGGTTACGTCTGTAAGAACCCGACTTCCACATCAGGCCGCCTTCTGAGGCTGGGGTCAGGACTTCCACCGTGAATGTGTGCATTCTCTAAGGGGCCGCCTGCCCTTTGGAGACTCCGTTTTGGGGGCTACATTGTGTGCTTTGCTCATCTTTCAGAGAGCCAGGGGCAGACCCATTCCTCCCGAAGCTCTGCTTGCACCCCCCATCCCGCAGACGCCTGGGCCACTGTCCCAAAGGAGAGGCCCATCTCAGGGTTCCTGCCTACTGTTGCTGGGGCCTCCAGAGGCTGTGGGTTCACCCTCTGAGCCAGAGCACCATCCCCATCCCCACTGGGGGACCACCCCTGGGTAGGAGTCTCCCCCTACCTCCTTCTGGGCATCACTGAGATGAATGTAGAACCCTCAGGCCTGGGCCTTGCTGGCCTGAGCCGGCCCCCAGCCCTCTGGGTACAGCCTCACCAAGCACTCACAACTTGTAGAACAAGGGTGGGCTTCCAGCAACAGGAACAAATGTGGCAGTGGCGGCTACTGCAGCCCATGCTTACAGCCCCACACCAGGCCCTGCCCTTCGCATATCTGTGGCCGGTGGGGTTACCTGGAGTCCAGCACTGCCCACCGGGCCCCGTCCCTGTGTGGCTGCCCCTGGGGTGATGCTGACCCATGGGTGATGGGCAGGGCAGGTCCCCCAGCTGCTCCTTGAGAGCTTTCTGTTGACTTTCCTACTCACCTGGCTCAGTAATCTGCTGGTGCAAAGGCCACATCCGCTTCCTTGAGGCCTGCTCCCACTGCACTGTGTCACCCAGGCCTGGCTCCGGTTCCAGCCCTGGCCTCCTGCAGGGTCACCCCTCCTGGGAGGTCACCACTGAAGGCTGCGCTCCCTGCTGTAGGAAGGCAGGGCGTCAGGGGCTCTCTGTACGGTCACTGTGCTGAGGACGTGGCCATGCCTGGGAGGACAGGCTCCTCTCTGGGGGAAGCGGGGATAGATTCTAGTTGTCCAGCTTCACTGCCCGGGGGGAGGGGTGGCACTGTGCCCAACTCCAGGCAGGGTCCCACCTCTTCCCACCCCCAGAGCTGGGGTGGTCAGTATGAGCACTTCTGGACCCTCACACACCCCCTGCCCCAAGGACCAGCCGGCAGTGTGGGCCCTGCTGCCTTCATCCTTCCCCCTGGCTCCCCTGGGAGGGGTTTAGGCCAGGTGGGCCCCAGACAGCCTGTTTGCAAAGGGCCTTCTAGGGTGGGGACTGAGGCCTCAGAGCCCTGACCATCCCCAGGGGGCTGTAGGCAGGACCTCAGGACCACCGGGTGGGGGCTCTTCTCTGGAGGATGGAGGCCATCGGGTTGTCCATTTCCCCCGCACCCGCATGCTGCCACCTGGCTCCCTGCACTGGCTCAGAGGTGGGTGGTCCTCTGTGGGGCAGGGCCAGGCAGGGAGGGCCCAGGGCCAGGACCAGCAGGGCGAAAGGTCTCCAGCAGTCGTGATGGTTAGAGCGAATGATGATTCCCAGCCATCACTGTGTGGAGGCCAGTGACTTGCCCAAGGTCAGGCAGAGCTCTCTCCGGTCCAGCCTGTGAGCCCGGCAATCAGGATGCTGACTCCGCAGCACGCGCTGCTCACCTGTCACAGGGCGGCGGTGCAGAGACAGGTGGGGTCAGGGAACGGCGAGACGCCTTCGGAATGACCTCGGCACCGGGTTGCAGGGGCCCTGAGGCCAGTGCAGACCCTGGGGATCTCCGGGTGGGCGTGGTCCATTCAAGCCACGTCCACGCAGGGTCCGAGGGGGCGTGACCCGCTCACTGAGCCACGCCCCCGATCAGCTCTGCCCATGCCCCGGCCCAGGAGTGCACATGCGCAGACTTCCCTCTGGGCGACTGTGTGGGCGACGCGCGCCACCTGCTGGCCAACGTCTGCATCCCCGGTGCCTCCCGCCCATGCGACCTTCCTTGGTCAGGTTGCGCTGATCAAGGCATGGGCTTGCCTGGGATGCTGGGACGGGGTGGGGGGCGAGCTCCCTGCACGTCTGGCTGCGGGAGCGCCCAGAGGAAGCGCTGCAGTGGGCAACGACGAGGTGGCTCTGGGGGGCCCTGGGGCCTCTGGCTCCTGGGACCTCGGGGCCTGGCAGGGCCTGTGCGGGCCTCTGGGGTGGGAGGTGGCGCTCCGCTGGACCTGATCCAAGGGACCTGGTGGTCGCCAGATCTCCACGGCTGTGCCAGGCCTCCGCTCACTCCCGGATCATCCCTGTGAACGTGCAGAAGAGGCAGCTGCCGCCAAGACCCCAGACCCCGGACCCCAGATACAGGAGGCCTGTTCTGCCCCCCTCCACTGCTCATGGCCCTCCAGGATGATGTGCGGTTTCAGAGCTGACCCCTATCCACCGCCAGGCCCCTGCAGCAACCCCCCCCCCCCACGGGGACAGCACCCCTTGCCCCTGCACCCCAGCCTAAGGTTCTGCCTGAGTCTGGGGGGAACCACCCTCTGGCAGGAGGGCGCAGGTGAGGCAGGAGGCGGCAGCTCACACAGGGCCCTGAAGTGCCACAGTGTGCGGTGGGACCACCCTCCACCACAGAGAAACTGCAAGCTTTTCCTGAATGCCAGCTGTGTGCAGAGCGCGTTGAGGGTGGGAGGCCTGGGAGGACCTCTTCCCACACATTCACCAGCATCAGGGGCGCTAGGATGGAGCTCTCCATGGCTGAGAGAACTCTCCAAGTTCGCCATGGCTGTGCCAAGACCCCTCTCCCTGCCCTCCCCCCTTTCCCCTAGCTGTTTGGTGTCCTGCAGGCTGCCTGGGGGAGCTACTTGCAGGGGCTTGTGTGGGGGGCTACTGGGTAGGTTGGACATTGCTCCCCCCACACCCCCCCCAGCCTATAGATGAGCCTGGAGGAAGTAATTTGCCAGGTGACCTTACCTGTGGCTGGAGAGGTGGGCCCCAGTGTCTGCATCTCAGCGCCCCACCCCCCAGGGCAGAGCCGGATGGGCGGCCTGGGCACCAGCCCATCAGCTGTAAGGGGCGCCTAGTGGCCCCCCTGGCGGCTCTGGGCCTGAGGGCAGTGGGTCCTCCTAGTGGTCACCTGGGCCCTGACGGGAGGGAGTGGTCAGCGGCTGTGGTCGTGAGTCCCTGACCTGGGAAAGGGTGCAGGGACGAGGAGGCCCCCAGCTGCTCCTGGAGGCTCTGCTGCATGCGGTGGGCGCCCTCGCTGCTTGCCAGGGCAGCGTGCCCAGCTGCTGGGCAGCTGACGGTGGTCTTGGGCTCTTGATCCTAAGTACCCCCCTCCAAGGCCCCTTGGTTCTGACGCTTAGTCCTCAGACCCAGCCCTGTGCCCAAAGCTGTACCCCGACCTCACCCCTGCCCTAACCTGTCTCTTAGAAGCCCCTGGGCCTCTGGGCTGACCCTCCCCACCTTCCTTAGTGGGTTTAACACACGAGGCTCAGGGGAGGCAGGCGGGTCCTGTTGAGGCTGCACCCCGGGTGTGTGGCTGTGTGCCTCATAGGGGCACACAGGGCAGAGGGCAGCCTGGGCTGTGGGGGCACCTGTCCTCTACTCGCCCTGCCCCTGCCCCCGATTCTGAGTTGGACCAGGGAGCAGCTGCCCGTGTCCTGCTCTCTGGGGAGCTCCCTCCTGGCCTGCGCCCTCGATGGGCCCCCAGAAGCTGCTGGAGGAGGAAGGGCGGGGTGCTGGAATGGTGCCCTAACAGGACCTGGCCATAAACTGGGGAGGGGTGGGGCTGCGGTCTAGACCGCTGACCCTCCCTGCTGGACTTTCCCCCCAGCCTGGCCCCCAGCTGTCAGCCCTTCCCGGGAATGGGCACCTTTGTTTGTTCCTTGAGAGCTCAGATGTCATTGACTGCCCGCCCAGGCCCTGGAGGGCTCCTCTGCGGGCCTGGGGAGGGGCTGGTGGTGGCTGGGCTCCCCAGGGGGCCTGGGGCTGCAGTGAGGCCCACCCACCCAACAGTGGGGCACAGGCCTGGAGAGGCCATCAGTGGATCAAAGGCCAGGCCTGCGTGCGTCCACTCAGCCATCACCCAGCCCTGAGCTGGGACCGCGGCCGGGGGTCAAGGAAGGTGGTGGTCATTTGTGGCAGAAACAACCACTTTGGTTTAGTTTTGAAAGCGGGGAGGTTATAGGGTTTCCCCCAGCTCCTGCTGGCTGCCCTGTGCAGTCACACCCAGGCGTCAGCCTTCAGCGGGCGGTTGTACCGGAACCCTCGGGAGGGTGCCCTGTCCCAGCCACTCTCAGCATGGCCCCCGAGACAGCCCGTGGGGAGGCTGGAGCACTGAGCTAGTTTCATAACAAGACTGAGAAGTGGTTTGCCTTTTTCACGGGGCTCCCGTGGGCACGGATGGTGCAGAAGCCCCGGCGGGTGAGGCTGTTGGCTCCTCGGTGAGGATCCCGGCATGGCCACGGGCAGGACCCCCTCACACACACCCCGGGGAGGAAGCGCCTGAGTGAGCCCAAGGCCTCAGTGTGAGCCGGGAAATGCCCCTGACTCAGTGGACGCGTCTGGGCCCTCAGCGAGAGCCCTTGGGTGCCAGCCTCTTGCAGTGCTCGCTCGGGCGACGGGCGAACCCCGACCCGTGCTGGGCCGGCCGTGCTATTCACACCTGGGGTCTTGGCAGGCGTTTGCCCCCAAACAAGAGAAACAGCAGTCTTTGTTGCCATGGTAAGTTCGAGCTTTCTACTGGAAATTAGAATTTTGGAACCTGCCAGCATCAGTGAGATAGCTCCCCAACCTGCAGGCCCTTCTCCGAGCCTGTGATTTTGGTGTGAGTCCCACGTGGACATGAAAAGGGAGACTCTGAATCAGCATTTTCCAAACAATCGATGCGTGATGTTACAGAATCACGGGGGCCAGAGACCTGTCCTTGGAGCGAGATGGACCAAGATTCCCCAGGGCCCCAGTGAGCCGCGCCTGGCGTGGGCTCCCGGTCCAGATGGAGGCCGCCCGGAGAGACGCCCTGAGCTAGGGTTCGGGGTCAACCGCAGGAGAACGTCCTCGATGACCCGAGAAGGCCGCTCACCTGCTCCTGGTTTCTAGCTGCAAGGCTGGGCGAGGCTGGGTTTTCTCCGGATGCTTCGACCAGGATGGTGTCCCCAACAGAGTGAGGGTGGACACGCAGATGAGGTCCGGCTGCTGCTGGGAAGCCCGACGTCAGGGAGACTCGTAAAGACATATATTTATGCCACTCTTCTTACTGCATTTTTGTTTTGGAAAATATGGGGTTTTTTTTTTGGTAAAAATGTTATTTATGTTAGCATGTAGTAGATTTAATTTTTAACTGAAATAACAAACATTTAAAACTTTTCTCATTTTTATTGCCTAACATGGCGAATACTGAGAGGTATCACCCTCACAAGCCGAGGCTCTTTGTGGAGGGGTCTTCAGGTGGGGCAGTCTGTCCGGTCGTCGAAGAGCGGAGACTCCGTCCTCATCCTGCTCGGGGACTCTGACCTTGAGGAGGGCAGGCGGCCCCGTGCGGAGGTGCTGCTGCTCGGGAGCCCCACTCAACAGATCCGCCCCTCTCTGCCCCCCTCCCTGAGGGTCTCAGATGGGGGCTGCTTCCCTGACCTGCTTTTATTTATTTATGACTTCAAGTAAATTTTCTCTTTTAAAAAATGTCTTTTTGTTTTGCTAAAGTACACATAACACAAAATTTCCAGGCGCACGGCTCGGGACCCTGAGACATTCACCAGGCTGTGTTACCTTCCCAACGTCATCCCCAGAATCTGTTCATCTTCCCGAACGGACACTCCGTCCCCACTGGACACTCACTCCCCTCTCCCACGGCCCCAGCCCCCGGCCCCCCATCCACGTCCCGTGTCTGTGGATGAGACCCCTTCAGGGACCTCCTGTGGGGCAGTCAGACAGCATCCGTCCTTCTGCGACTGGATTACTTCTCTGAGCATCACGTCCTCGAGGTCCACCCGCGTTCACAGTGTCAGGACGTCCTCTTCTGCGAGCACCGTCTGCGGACGGACGCTGGGTTTCCCCCGCTTAGCTGTTGTGACGCTGCTGCTGTGAACACGTGCAGGCATCAGTGAGGCCCGCCTGCTCCTCTCAGGGGACTGAGGGAGGCGGGACTGCCCGCTCAGGCGGCAGGCGGGTGGGAAACGTCTGGAGGCCCTTCCGTGCAGTTTCCCACACGGCTGTGCTGTCCTGGCCTCTAGCTCGGGGTCCGCTCTCAGCGGGCCCTGGGGCTCAGACACCCCTTTGTCTTGGGCCGGCCCCCCGCTTGTTTCCTGCCCCGGGCAGCCCCTGGCCGTGGCGCCGGTCTGGGAAGAGGCCAGGGTGCTGTCAGGACGGGTGTCTTGGGGTCTCTGAACGCGAAGCCTCCCCCAGGGCCCGGGCATCGTGTCTGGGGTCTCAGAACCGAGGCCGGGACGACAGCTGGGTTCAGGCCGGGGCCTCCCTGGCCTGCCAGCGGCGGGCACCGGATGTGGGCCCTGGGCTGACGTCTTTACTGAGTGCTTGCGTCAGGAGGTGCCCGCGGCCGGAAGCCGGCGTTTATGGCCCGGGCGGGCCAGCGGCGGCTCTGAGGGCCGTGACGTCACCCGGCCCAGGCCAGTGGGCGGGGCTGGACGGACGCCAGGCAGCCGCCGCTCCCTGCCCGGGCAGCTCTCAGCTCGGACGTGCGGACCGCCCCCCGCCGCGCTCTGCCTGAATTTGGTGGGGACGATTTGTACCTGGTTCTCTTTGCTGAATAGCGTTGACTTCTCTGAACCGTCAGCGACCTGCGGGCCCCGGCGCAGCCCCCGTAGAGGGGCCGCGGCCCTGCTCACCCCCCAGCCCTGCCTCTGAGCCCCCAGTTCCCGCGCCCACCTGCAATCTCCTCGTGATGTGGGCGGTGCTCGCGGCCCACGGGCACCCGCCAGCTGGAGGCCGTGGAGTTTCTCGGAACGGTTACCCACTCTCCAGTCGAGCGGCTGTGGGCCAGGGTCTCGCGCTGGCCAGGGGGCAGCTGGAGGGCAGCGTGAGGTGACCTGCTCTCCTGGAGGCATGAGGCTGGTCTGCAGGGGGCTGGGGACCCCTCATGGGTCTGGTGAGGCTTCTAGGGTATTGGTCAGGGCCTGCAGGGCCTCCTACCCTGGCCGTTGCCGTAGCTTGTTTTGTGGACTCTCTGAAGTGCTAGTGTGGGCCTTTTACATGACGCCCCTTGATTCGAGTTTGCTGCCGGCTTCCTTGCAGTTGGGAGGGAGGCATGCAGGAGGAGGGGCTCCCCTGAGCGCTGTGTGGGAGAGCGTGGCCGCACCGTCCTGCCCCTGGCATAACGAGGAACCCCCCTCCCCACTTCTTACCTAGTGAGCCCTGCAGGAGGGGTCCACGACCAACCGCGCTGACAGAAGGTGCGGCAGTGAAGGCGAATTCTCTCTCCCCCTCTAAACTGATTGATTGGATTTTTCTATATGAGTGAGGGTTCCTTCCCGTTCGTTTATTTCTTCGATGATGGGTGTCACTCTGGACTCCATGCTTGTTTTATCCCGTGGGTTATGGTCACACATCACAGTTACGGCTTCGGTGGCTCAGCCTACCCATCTCTGCCAGCAGGGCTGCGTCCTGCCGCCCTGCGGCCTCGGACAAACCTCCAGCCACTGGCCACCTCCTCGTGTTCTGATGCCACAGGCCAGGTCATCTCGACATTCTCACCCAGAACCTCACCTGCTTCCCCAGGGAGCCCCAGTTCCTTTTATTGTCTGCAGGCCCTCATGGTGGACAGCACTAGAAAGACACCAACTGCAGACACATCTGTCGCCCATCTATCTACCACCTATCATCTATCTATATCTGTTATTATTATTATCTCACCTATCTATCATCTGTGTATCCATTTATTACCTATCTAGGTATCTCTTATCTATCTATCTAGCTATTATTTATATATCTATTATCTATCTATCATCTATCCATTCAGTTCAGTCGCTCAGTCTTGTCTGACTCTTTGTGACACTATGGTCTGCAGCACGCCAGGCTTCCCTGTTCATCACCAACTCCCAGAGCTTGCTCAAACTCACATCCATCGAGTCAGTGATGCCATCCAACCAATTCCCTTTTCCTCCTGCTTTCAATCTTTCCCAGCATCAGGGTCTTTTCCAAGGAGTCAGTTCTTTGCATCAGGTGCCCAAAATATTGGAGTTTCAGCTTCAGCATCAGTCCTTCTAATGAATAGTCAGGGTTGATTTCCTTTAGGATTGACTTGTTTGATCTCCTTGCAGTCCAAGGGTCTCTCAAGAGTCTTTTCCAACACCACAGTTCAAACGCATCAATTCTTCAGCGCTCAGATTTCTTTATGGTCCAACTCTCATATCCATATATGACTACTGGAAAAACCATAGCTTTGACTGGACAGACCTTTGCCGCAAAGTAATGCCTCTGCTTTTTAGTATGCTGTCTAGGTTGGTTATAGCTTTTCTTCCAAGGAACAAGGGTGTTTTAATTTCATAGCTGTCTATCCATTATCTACTACCTAGCCATCATCTGTATATCTGTGTATCTATCTTTCTGTGTGTTTATCTATCATCTATGAATCTATCATCTATCTTGTGCTTATGGTTTGAACCCACTGGGTCTGAGGTGCTGTGTTGTGAGTTGACAGCTGATTCACAGTGTTGCTGGGACCTTGAAAACCGTGTTTCCAGGCTCCCTGGCAGCCGGCTCCCTGGAAAGTGCTTTTGGTTGAGGGCAAGGAGCACCTATGCCACCACCATCACCATGGTGGCTCTTGGGCAGGCAGTCCCACCACTGGCTGTGCTCCCCCTCGGGAGGCCCTCCTCTCTGCCCCTCCAGCCTTGGGGGTGGGAACCACTCCCTGCGGCCCCCAGGGCCTCCTGTCCTCATGGCTTCCAGCTCCTGCGTAACTGGCTCTGTTTGAATCACCTTCTGTGGTTTCCTTTTTCTGACGGGACAGTAATGGTATCGGATGGGTTTCTGAGGTCAGTCCTGGGTCCAAAGGCACAAAGAGACAAGGGCAGGTGGGGCCCAGACACAGAGCCCCGGGTCGGGTGGGGATGCCGAAAAGGCAGTTTTCAGGGGACCCGTGTCAGCACGAAGCAGCTACAATAGAAAAGAGGACAGAAAGGTCAAGGCCTCAGAGTCCACTGTCAGAAATCACAAAAGAAGAAGAGCAGATTAAACCCCAAATAAAGGGAAGAAAGGAAGGGCATTAATGAGATGAAGCGGAAAACAAAGCAGTAGAGGAAAAATAAGGAGCCCGAAAGCTGGGATTTTGAGAAGATCAGTAAAATTGATAAACCTCTAGCCAGACTGATAGCAAAAATGACTTAAGTTACCAATCTTAGGAATGAGAGTTGTGATATCACCACAGATTCTACAGATATTAAAGGGGTAATAAGGGAATGTTATGAACAATTTTCTGCCAATAAATCTAGCAACTTGAGCGAAAAGGACAAGCTTCTTGAAATACATAATTCACTCAGAACAGGACTGCCTGGCCTCTTCAGTGGTTAGGACTCCGTGCTTCCTCTGCAAGGGTTCCTTGTTGTTCCTCTAGTTCTTGGTTCCCTGCTTCATCTTCCTCATGATCTTCCTTTCACCCCTTTACTTTTGGCAAAAAAAAGAGAAAGAATATCCACATATATTAAAGAACTAGAAAACCAAACCAAAAACCTCCCCACAGAGAAAGCGCCAGGCCCAGATGACTTCAGTGGTGAATTCCATTATGCATTTAAGAAGAAATAATACAAACTCTGTTCAGATTCTTCCAGAAAGACTGAAAAGGAAGGGATATTTTCAACTCTTTTGATGAGGCTAGTATTACCCTGATGCCAAAATCATACAAAGACACACCCAAGGGGGAAAAAAATCTGTAGACCCACCTTCCTCATGAACATAGATGAAAAAAATCTAAACAAAATTTTAGCAAATTGAATCCAGCAACAAATGAAAATCATGATTAAATTTTTTTTCCCTGGAATACAGGATAGGTTTGACATTCATGAGTCAATATAATTCACAATATTATCAGACTAAAGAGGAAAAACTATAGAATCATCTCAATAGATGCAGAAAAAGACATGTAACAAATTTCAACATCCCTTCCTGATAAGATCTGTCAGCAAACTAAAAATAGAAGAGAACTTCCTCAACCTGGTAAAGGGCATCTACTAAACGCCTGCAGCTGGCATCACACTTAGAGCCTAAACGCTTTTCTCTGGAATCGGAAACAAGGTCGGGATACCTGTTCTTACCGCTTCTAATCAACACCGTGCTGGGAGTCATTGCCAGTGCAACCAGGAACAAAAAGGAAAATAACTGGACTGGGGAGGAAGAAGTGAAACTGCCTTCATTCGCAGGGAGCATGGCCTTCTATGTAGAGAACCTAGAATATAACAAAATAGCTGCTATAATTAGTGGGTGAGTTTATCAAGGCTGTTGGTACTACAAGATCCGTATACAAAAATCAATTATATTTTTATATGCTAGAAACAATCAGAGATTGGCATAAAACGACCATGTACAAGAGCATAAAAAAACATGAAATACTCAGACAAAAAATCTGACGAAAGAAATGAAAGACCTGTACACTGAAAAATATAAAACATTGCTGAGAGAAATCAAAGATCTAAATAAATGGAGAGACAGACCTTGTTCATGGGATGGAGGACTCAGTATTGCTAAGATTTAATTCTTCCAATAAATCTTACAGGTCCAGATATTCAATGCAATCCCAGTCAAAATACGATCAGGATTTTTCTTGGTAGAAATCAATACTTTCTGAAATTCAGATGGAAACGCAGAGGACAGAGAGTCGCCAAACAAAACAAAACAAAACAAAACCCACAACTTAGGAAAATAAAAACAAAATTGGAGCATGAACATTAAGCGATACTACAGTTATTACAAAGCTACAGTGATCAGAACAGCGTGTATTAGCATAAAGATGGACAAATAGATCAGTGTAATAGAAGAGAGTCCAGAAATAAACACACGCATATATAAAGAACTCGACTTTTACAGGAACTATGCAAGGAGGCAAGGATGGCCTTGTCCAGAAGGAGCTGGAACAGCTGGGTTAAGAAAGGAAAGGAAGCTTCAGTTCATGCCTCACACTGTATGAAAAAATAATCTCAACTCATCATGTAAAACCTAAAGGTATAGGCTTCCCTGGGGGTCCAGCAGTAAAGAATCCGCCTGCCAAGGCAAGGGACACAGCTTTGATCCCTGCTCCGGGAAGATCCTACGTGCCTTGGGGCAACGAGGCCCACGCCACAGCTACTGACCTCACACGCCAGGGCTCATGCTCTGCAACAAGAGAAGCCTCCGTTGTGAGAAGCCGCAATGAAGAGCAGCTCCCGCCTGCTGCAACTAGAGAAAGCCTGTGCAACAACACAGACCCAGCGCAAACAATAAAAAACAGAGGAAGCAAACAAACCCCTTCAAAACCTAAAGATATAATACTTCTAGAGGAGAACTCAGGAGGAAACATTCCTGACCTTGGGTTGGGCAAAGCTTCCTTGCTATGTCACTTTAGTTGTGTCTGACTCTCTGCGACCCCACGGCCTGCAGCTCACCAGGCTTCTCTGTCCATGGGATTCACCAGGCAAGAATCCTGGAGCGAGTTGCCATGCCTGTACTCTATCATCCCAACATACCATCCGTAAAAGAGTAAACAGATGAACTGGACCTCATCAGAATGAAAACCTTCCACTCTTCCAAAGACACTGTTATGACACTGAGCAAAACAAGCCACAGAGTGGAAGAAAAATATTTGCAAAGGGTAACTCTGGTACTGGACTGGTATCTTGAATAGATTAACCAGTCTTGGAGCTAAATTAAAAAAATCCACCAAAATAACCCAATGAATTGGCAGAAGATCTGAGCAGACACTTCACCAGAGAAGACAGGTAGGTGACAGGTAAGCTTTCTGACATGGAAAGGTTCTCAACTTTAGTAGTGATTGGAAATGCAACTCAAACCAGGGTGAGGTATCACTGTGCACCTATCGGAACAAGTGTAACTGGGGCGGGGTGCATGGTGGGGAGTGGGGGCTCACCTGCCACTGGGTGGGATGTGACGCACGACGCCTTTGGAGAACAGCCCGTTGTTTCTGAGACTTTGGAACGCGCACCTACTGTGTGGCCCAGACACCTGGCTCCCAGGTACACAGGTCCGGCACAAGCTCCTGGCGGTATGGTCTGTGATGCTGTCAAACTGGAAACAGCCCAAGCCCATCAGCAGCAGAAGAGATGAACACTTCTATGTGTGCTCAGCCGCTCAGTCGTGTCCGACTCTTTGCGACCCTATGGATGGGAGCTGGCCAGGCTTTTCTGCCCATGGAATTTTCCAGGCAAGAACACTGGAGTGGGGTGCCATTTCCTCCTCCAGGGGATCTTCCCGACCTGGGAATCGAATCTCTTGCGTCTCCTGCATTGGCAGGGGGATTCTTTGCCACTTGTGCGAACTGAGATGCCCCGAACACACTTTTATTTCCACATAAAAGAAAGCCACTCAGTCATAAAAGGGAATGGACGGTGCATGCAAGTGCCATTGTGGATGGATCTCAAAATAATCCTGTTGATTCTGCGAGGAGCCAGCAGCAATCATGGCAGCAGAGGAAGGAGCCAGAGGCCAGGGTCCAGAAACTCAGAACGACCAGCGGCGGGGGACTTCCCTGGCGGGCCAGTGGTCAGGATGCCGCGCTTCCACTGCAGGGCGCGCGGGTGCCGCCCCCGGTCCAGGAACTGAGATTCTGCATGCTGCATGGCACGGCCAAAAGGTAGGAAAACAAAAGCCGTTGATGACCCCCTGAGAAGCTGACCACCCGCGTCCAGAAGCCAATCCTCCCACAGCGAGCTCTCTCTTCCCCACCAACGTGCGTGAGGAATACGGGCTGACCCAATGAATGGAGGTAGGGGGGAAATTAGTTCAATGCTTAGACACAAGTACAGAAGGGCTCTCAGAATTAATAATGGCCGAAAGATACGGATATACCCAGAAAATCAGCAAGTTCCATGATTTGGGAGTGGTGCTTCCTGAGGGTGATTGCTTCTATGATCTTTCCAAACTAGAAGTCTCTCTTTTGGGAGAAAAACTATCCTGAGTGAAAGAAACCAAACCAGCAAACAGTACCAGTGTGTGGGGCTGTTTGCATAAGATTCCAGAAAACACAAACTAACCCAAAGGGCCAGGAAGCAGACCGAAGGCAAGGGGTGTGAGATTTCCTGGACGGCCAGCTGCACATACATTCACCGTTTCGATTCAGGTGGCGATGGTTTCAGGTGTGTATTATGTCAAAACTGGTCAGATCCACACTTAAGCACATGCTGTTTATTGTATATCAATTACACTTCCATCAAACTGAAAACATATTTCAGATTAGCTCTGTTAGACAAAACTAAGTTTTCCAGACCAGTGAATCGTGTTTTCCTTCTAGCAACAGAAAATCATAGCCATAATTTATAATGGCTGCATGACAAAGAGGCAGTCATGACTGAGCACAGCATGGCCCATGGCATGACATTCCAGAATTATTTTAGCACTTAGAGATTTAGGGTTAATCATAAAAACATATTCAAGCCAAAACTAAGGTGATGGTGAAAAAGATCATTGGTTGCAGGGGTTTGGTGGGGAGGGTTGAAGAGGTGGAGAATGGGGATCTGATACTGTAATGGAGCACACGACACTGTATTTGCTGAAACTCATAGAACGCTGCAGCTCCAAGAGTGAGCCTCAGGTTGTGCAAAGTATAGGAGTTAGTTAGGAGGCTGGGGATCCCAGGATGGTATGCAGATGCGTGAGAAAGCAATCTAACTGTACTGTAAATGCATGAGACGCCCCACTGGGGGTGGGAAAGAGGGGGCTCTGTCCCAGGGCAACACTCCAGGAAGGAAGGGAAGAAATTCCTCTCCAGGGCTATAAGCACGCAGGAATTGGATTTTCTGTTGCTCATACTGGGTTTCCACAAAGAGTGACAGTCAACTCTCTGTGAAGAATGGCCACACCATTGCCACGTGGTGGACAGCGTGGGCAGAGGGCAGAGAGGACCACTGTGAGCAGGCTGGGCGAATGCAGCGGGCTCTTCACACTCTCTGATCATTGGTTTCCTTGTGTCCAGAATGAAGCAATGTGAGCGCCCACCTCTCAAGGTTGTGGAGGGCTTTAATGAGGTGGGCTGACTGAGTTCCTGGCCACTGCCTGCACACATCGTGTCCTTATGAGGTGGTAGCCATGTGGAGCTGCTACAGAAGGCGCACCCCATCCCTCCTAGAGACTGTCCATCTATCCGTCCATCCATCCATCCAGCCACCCCCCCACCCACCCACTGACCCACCCAGCCACCCCCCCCACCCACCCATCCATCCATCCACCCACCCAGCCACCCACCCAGCCACCCACCCATCCACCCATCTGTCCATCCACCCACCTATCCATCCATCCACTCATCCACCCCCCTACGCATCCAGAAGGGAAGTTTGTAAGTGTCTACTGTGACTCTAATCTGTGGAGGAGCCCACATAGGCTGCTTCCCTCAAGCGTTCACAGTCTGAAGGCAGCAGTGGACCCACAGTGCAGTCAGGGCAGTGAGGAAATGCTCAGGGTAAATGTCGGGTCTCAAGGTGGGAGACTGCGTGAACTGATCTCTTGAACAGCAGTGGCCCTTTACCCCCAGGGAGGCCATGCCTGTGCCCGCCTGCTCCGCGGAGCCTGGATGAGGAGCCCAGCCCACTGACCCGGCTCTGCCCCACTCACACCTGAGCAAACACCTGTGTGTGCAGACCCGCCCACCTTTCACACGGTGCAGGGTGGGGGCGGCAGGGGTGGGGAGGTAATGTCTTCTCGTAAATCCTCGCAGGCTCGGGGGTGACGCGGGGCCTGCGCCTGTGCACCCCCAGGTCTTTCAGCAGGTCTGAGACTCCCCTTCCGACATCTCGGGGAGGACTCGGGGAGGGGGTGGGCACAGCTGATGCTTTGTCTGCCCCTCACTGATTCTTCAGACACTTACCCACCAGGGACTCCATCTGGGCCTGGCTGGGGCTGGGGTCTCCCTTGGTGTTCAGAGGGCTTACCTGGGTGCACCCTCCAACTGCCCATGGAGGTTGGACCAGAACCGAGGCCCCGAGGTGGGGCCCAGGGTCTGAGCAAGGTCTCCATGTACAGAGGCCCTGGCCCCCCCCCACCCGGCTTCCTGATGAGTCAGGGTCTGTGGACAGACCACACGCACAGCCGTCTTGGGCTGCGTTGTGTGACGTCTCTGGGCCCCTCCCTTCGTCAGTGGTGACCCACGTGGTCCTCAGGAACACTGTCTTGTCGGGGTAAACACTGCTGGGTGTGGGGCCGTGACTGCCCAGGCTGCCGGCGTGTCGGTGCCCCGCGGGGAGTCCGCCCGGCAGGCAGGCAGGCAGGCAGGACCCCCGGCAGCCCCGGCTGCGGTGGGCAGAGCGCTGTTCTGGTGGCCTTGGGGTGTCACAGCTTCATCAGAGAGGGACAGTGGGCAGTTTGCTCAGCCCTCTCCCGGCGAGGAGTGGGGGTCCCGCTGGGGCGGGGACAGGGCTCCAGCCACACTGAGGGAGTGTCAGGGTCTGCGGGGCCTCTTCCCGCGTCCCTCAGGGTTAGCGTGATGGATGGGTGGATGTATGCAGGCGCCCGGGGGTCCGCAGCCCTGCTCAGGGGCTGGAGCCCTCCCCACGCCCGCCCTAGTCGGGGGGCTGACGCCACTGCTCACAGGCCCACCTGACAACCTGCGACTGTGCCCAGAGGGATGGGGCCGGACATGGGGGCCTCGGGCGGCCTGCTGCCCACCCAGAGGGTCCGTCAGGCTGACCTCAGACGCAAGGGGACCCCACCTCCTCAGCCCCAGGGGGACCCTCCTTCTCAGACCAGGGGTTGTGCTGGGCACCCTGTGTCTGGCCAGGAGTCCCTGACCTCACCAGGGCAGAGGGAGCCTGGTGGGGAAATTGGCTGCCCCTGGGGCCCGCGGGGGGCCATCCTGGGGCTTTCCCAGGGCCCAGCGCCAGCCGTGCCAGCCCCAGGGGAAGCAGCACGGCTGGCCTGCTGCTCTGGTTTCCTAACCCCGGGCCTCCTGCTTCCAGCCGGGCGCTGTGCGGGTCCCTGAGGCCTGTGGTGGGCGGGATGTGGGGCTTCACCCTCGGGAGGGCTGGGTCCAGGGACTGTGGCTCCCGGTCACCCTTTCAGACCCTGGAGTGCCCGTCCCTTGATGTCCTGGCCCTGCGGGGGCCCCGGGAGCCGGCACCTGTGCTGGAGGGGAGCTCGTGGTCCTGGGCGCTGCCATGGGATGATGGGCCGTCAGGAGAGGAAGGCCCGGGAGGGGCCTCTGTGGGGGCGCTGGGCTCAGGGATGCAGGGGGTCCCACGGCCCCCCCCCGGGTGGCCCCCTTGTCCAGAGTAACTGCTGAGATGAGCCCCTCCTGCTCGCCCTGAAACCGGGGACCATGATGCTGGAGCCTCAGCTCCCCCCATCTGAGCGGTCGCCCATGCTCGTGTTGGCCAGAGTCAAAAGCTGAATCCAGGATGCAATCTGTTTTCAGGACGGGGGGACTGCCTGGAGGGGAGGCCTGACCTCAGCTTATCCACCAGTTATGGGGACTGCCCAGAGGCTGCTAAGGTTTGGGGCTGGCGCAGCTCAAGCGCCCCTTTCCGGAGGCGTTTCCAGACGCACTGGGCTTGGCTTTGAGGGTCTGAGATTCGCCCGAGGCCACAGCTCCTCTCGGGGGCAGGACCCTCTTCTGCGAGAGGCCTGGCCTGGGAGCGCCTGCAGGCCGCCCCCCAACCCGCCGCCCTGGTCCTCCCCACTGTTCTGGGAGGCGGCAGGGCCAGGCCCGAGAGCCGCCTCCCCGCCAGGACCTGGCCCCTTCCCCTCAGGGATGGCCACTCTTGGCCTGGAGCCAGGTGCCCTGTGTCCCAGAGGACGCTGGGCTCCCCAAGTTCCAATTACATGTAATTCCAGAGGCGGGCTGGGCTGGGGGAGGGGAAGGGATTAGAGAGTGGGCTGGAGCCGGGCCCTCACGGAGCTCGCAGGCTCTAGGAAGGAGCTGTGCTGAAGTTGGGGACCCCCTGGGCCTCCAGGAGCCCACGCTTGTCCTGCCTCGGGCAGCAGGGTTCGGGGAGGGCAAAGGCCCTGGGGGGGAAGCTGTGGTCCAGACGACCTTTGGCAGGCCCCCAGGTGGGAGGGGGCGCCCGCCCCGCAGAGTGGGCTGTCTAGGTCCCTGGGGAGGCCCCCACTGGACCTTGCTGTGCCTGGGGTCCTGGACAGGTGAGGTGGGGACGGGGGGAGCGCGCTGTCTGCTGGGACGAGCTTCCGGCAGGACCCCTGGCCCCAGGCTAGTCCAGCACCAGGAGGGTCGGAGGTCCGCCTCGGGTGTGTGCTGGAATCGGGTAGATGGTGCCGCATCCCGGGCACGGCCGGCTCTACCAGGGCAATAAAAGATAAACCGCAGATAACCTGAGTCAATATTTCCCCAGCGGGCCCTCGGAGCCCCCACAGCTGTTTTCCTGATGACCCGGGGGGAGCCCCACCCGTCCCGCGCCCTCCCGCTCTCCCTGTCCTCTGGTGGCTCTACGGGGTATATAAGGCCCGGCCCCTGCCCTGGGCGCTCTGCCCTGCCGTCCTTCTGGCCACCATGGGGCTGCTGGCCTGCCTGGCGGCCCTCTGCCTGGCTCTGACCTGGGCCGGGGGCATGGAGCTCCAGAGAGGTAGGTGGACTGCGGGCGGCCCGGAGCAGACGGCCCTGCCTGGAGGAGAGGGGGTCTTCCTCGGCCCAGGCTTTGGGGCGGGCGACCTGGCCCGGTACTTGCGGCCCCCACCCCTGCTGACTCTGGGTGCGGGGGGAGGGAAGGGGGAAGGAAGGGGGCGTCCCTTTGCAGGTGGTGGTCCGGCCAGCGTGTCCAGGGGCCAGTCCCAGGTGGGCGCACTGGGCTGGGCAGCTGCCTGTGGGTCTGAGGGAGGCAGGGGCCACCAGGAGGGGCCAGGCCCGCAGTCCTGGGTGGCAGGGGCCCTTGGAGGGTCGAGACCAAGACGGGCCCCTCTGCAGAGCCGGCTGTTTGTGCCTCTGCTCAGAGGCGGCTTCAGCCAGAGAAGCCCGTGTGACTGCAGGACGGGCGGCTCTCCACCCAGCAGAGCCACCGGGGACGGGGGCGCAGGGGTGAACCTGGGCCCCGCTCTGAGGGGTCTGGCACCGTCCCTCTGCTGAGTGCGGGCTGGCTGGAGCCAGGGGAGGGGGCGCTGGCTGGGGCATCAGTGGACAGAGAGTGGCAACGACCAGGGTAGGGGCCCAGGGCCAGGCCACGGCTGCGGCCCCCGCAGGGTATGAGTGTCAGGCTGTGACAGCTGCAGATGCCCTTGTGGGGGCCTGAGACCGCGTGGGTGGGTGAGCAGGGGCCGGCAGAGGGCCCTGCAGCCCGAAGGCTCTGAGCTGCTGCCGGGCGCCTCCGGAGCGGAGGGTCCTCGAGGGCAGCAGCCCCGGCCGCTCACGCCTCCCCCCGCGGCCCCCAGAAGGCAGAACCCGGAACCACGGCCACAGCGTGTGCAGCACCTGGGGCGACTTCCGCTACAAGACCTTTGACGGAGACGTCTTCCGCTTCCCCGGGCTGTGTGACTACAACTTGGCCTCCGACTGCCGCGACGCCTACAAGGAGTTCGCCGTGCACCTGAAACGCAGCCCCGGCAGCAGTGGGGGCCTGTCCCAGGTCGAGTACATCCTGCTGACCGTCAAGGATGACGCCATCTACCTCACCCGCCAGCTCGCCGTGCTGAACGGGGCCATGTGAGTGGTCGGGCCCGCCCCCTCCCGCGTCCTGGCGGTGGGGCTGCGGCCCCAGCCCCCCAGCCTGACACGCTCCCCCGGCCGCGTCTATTCTGGCCAACAGCTCAGAAGCAGAGTGCTGGTTCTGAGTCCGGGTCACCAATTCAGTCAGCAAACCCTGATGAGGACCCGGCAGGACTCCCACGGGTGCGGGGCTAGGGAGGGGGCTCGAGGGATTTATTTCTCCTGGGCAACTCCCCCAGCCCCTCTGCTGGGTGCTCACCCAGCTCCAGGCTAGGGTTATGCGGGCCCACAGGAGGCCGGTCCTCCCCCACACTGCGCAGCATTGTCTGCGGAACAATGGGGCTCTGAGCGCATTCCTGCCAGACAGGTCCCCACCTGCGGGCTTTGCCTCTGCCCTGCTGCTGGGGGTTTAGCTTCCCACAGCCGGGCTCAGCATGGGGGTGGGCACAGGGTCCCCGCGAAGGGGGTGCGGGGTGGGCACAGGGCCTACCTTGGGAGGCTGGGTGAGGCTTTCCCAGTTGGCCTGCCCTCCTCCCGGGGCTCCTGGGGGGTCCTACCCAGAACGGAGCCCGAGGAGGGGTGTGGAGAGGGCCCTGGGCAGGCACATGTGGCCGCATCTGGCCAGGCGGGTGGACAGGGGCTCAGCCACTGCTCAAGTGTCCCCAGAGGGTGGCCACCCCAGCCACGCCCACAGCCTCAGCCCCTCTGCCGGCGGGAGCTGCGTGGGCCAGCGTGACCCCCGTGCCCACCCCCAGGGTCAGCACTCCGCACTACAGCCCCGGGCTGCTCATCGAGAAGACCGACACGTACACCAAGGTCTACTCCCGCGCAGGACTCACGCTCATGTGGAACCAGGAGGACTCGGTCATGGTGCGCCAGGCGTGATGCTGGGGGCTGGGGGAGGGCCTGGGAGGCTGGGGCGCCTCGTGGACTTGGGGGGTGCCCTCAGGGCCTCCAGAACTGCCCCCGGGGCTCCCACCACAGCTGACCAGTCTCTGAGCCCTACTTGGCTGCAGCCGGGTGCGACCCCGCGGCCTGCTCACCTGCCCCCTCCCCCGGCAGCTCGAGCTGGACAGTAAGTTCCGGAACCACACTTGCGGCCTCTGCGGGGACTACAATGGCCTGCAGACCTACTCGGAGTTCCTCTCCGAGGGTGAGCGCCTCCTCGGGGGGCCTCCACGGGCGGGTGTGGGCAGGGCCCCTGGGCGCCCTCCAACCCTGCTGAAGGCCGTGCCCACCTCAGGTGTACCCTTCAGCCCCGTCGAGTTTGGGAACATGCAGAAGGTGAACAAGCCTGAGGTGGTGTGCGACGACCCCGAGGAGACGGTGGTCCCCGAGTCCTGCTCCGAGCACGTGAGTACCCGGCCGCCGTGGGGGGCGGGCCGTGTGGCGTGGGCGGGGAGGGGGCCGTGCGGTGGGGCGGGGAGGGCAGGGGGCCGTGACCGGCCCCGCCCATGCCCGCCTCCCGCATCCGCCCCCCGCAGCGCGCCCAGTGTGAGCGGCTGCTGACGGCTGCGGCCTTCGCGAGCTGCCAGGGCCTGGTGCCCGTGGAGCTGTACGTGCAGGCCTGCACGCAGGACCGCTGCCAGTGCCCACAGAACGCCTCCTGCGTCTGCAGCACCATCGCCGAGTTCTCCCGCCAGTGCTCCCACGCCGGCGGGCGGCCGGAGAACTGGAGGACAGACGCGTTCTGCCGTAAGCGGCGTGCGGGGACGGCGGCGGGAGGACGCAGGGGGCTCATGGGGGACGACCCCGGGGAGCGTGCTGACCTTTCCGGGTGCGCGGCAGGGCGGCCTGGTGTGTCCAGGGCTGGGAGCCACGTGCGTTCACCAGACCCTTCACGGTGTCCGCCGCGCCCGCCCCTCGGCTCAGGGGTCTGCCTTTGCCTGTCCAGCCAAGAGCTGCCCTGGGAACATGGTCTACCTGGAGAGCGGCTCGCCCTGCATGGACACCTGCTCACACCTGGAGGTCAGCAACCTTTGTGAAGAGCACCACATGGACGGCTGCTTCTGCCCAGAAGGTGAGGATGCAGGCGGGGGCAGGGCGGGGGACAAGAGGGAGAAAGAGCACAAGCGCTGAGACCGTCCCGCCCCACATATGCACACATACACATACACACACAGGTGCACACATACACGTGCACACACACGCACACATGCACACGCATGCACACACACGTGCACACACGCGCGCGCGCGCAGTGTGAGCTTCCTGCTCCTCACCTCTGGACAGTCCTTCTCCAGCCTGGCCCGTGACCCTGAGCCTGGAGGCAGGTCCCTCAGACACAGTGTGGGTCCACAGCGCCCCCAAAGAGGGGTCTGTGGGTGGGAGGCAGGTGCGCCTGTGGCCCTGGGAATGGCGGGGGTTCGGGGCGGCCAAGAGGAACGTGTCCTGCTGTCGCAGGCACTGTGTATGATGACATTGCGGGTGGCGGCTGCATCCCCGTGAGCCAGTGTGGCTGCAAGTTGCATGGACACCTGTACACGCCTGGCCAGGAGACCACCAACAACTGCAAGCAGTGGTGGGTGCTGGGGCGGGGGTCCCGGTGGGCTGGGAGTCCAGGCAGGCTGGGGGTCCTGGTGGGTGGGGGTCCCGGCGGGTGGTGGATCCCGGCGGGCTGGGAGTCCAGGCGGGCTGGGGGTCCAGGTGGGCTGGGGGTCCCGGTGGGCCGGGGGTCCAGGCAGGCTGTGGATCCCGATGGGCTGGAAGTCCAAGTGGGCTGGGGGTCCTGGTGGGCCGGGGGTCCAAGTGGGCCGGGGGTCCCGGCGGGCTGGGGGTGGCAGTTGAACCTGACCCTGGGCCCTCTTCCTGACAGTGTCTGCAACGCTGGCCACTGGGTGTGCCAGGACCTGCAGTGCCCGGGGACCTGCAGCCTGGAGGGCGGTGCCCACATCTCCACCTTCGACGGGAGGAAGTACACCTTCCACGGGGACTGCTACTACGTGCTGACCAAGGTGGGCCGGCGTCCGGGGGCGTGTGGGCTCTGGACCCCTGCCCCACCCTCCGTGTGACTACAACACCCTCTCCCCCACCCCCGACAGACCCAGAATGACTCCTACGCCCTCCTGAGCGAGCTGGCCCCCTGCGGCTCCACGGACAAGCAGACCTGCCTGAAGACCGTGGTGCTGCTGGCCGACAGCAAGAAGAACGTGGGTGTCCCTGCCTCCCTCCTTCCCAGCGCCCCCGGGGCCCACGGCCCTTCTCAGCCTGTGTCCCCTTGGCCTTGCCTGTAGGTGGTGACGTTTAGGTCAGATGGCAGCGTCCTGCTGAATGAGCTGAAGGTGAATCTGCCCCATGTGACGGGTGAGTCCTGCTCCGGGCGCCCTGACTTGGGGGGGAAGATGGGGTATGGGCAGGCCCCCGCCCCTCACTGTCCCCGCCACCCCCCCCACCACTCCTCACACCCCCACCCTGATGCCCCCCCTTGCAGCGAGTTTCTCCATTTTTCAACCGACCTCCTACCACCTCATCGTGACCACCACCTTCGGCCTCAAGCTGCAGATCCAGCTGGTGCCGGTCATGCAACTCTTCCTGACACTGGACCAGGCAGCCCAGGGCCGCGTGCAGGGTGAGTGGTCCCGCCTGGCGCCCCCACGCGGCCGCCCTCGGGACTCTGTGGCCCCGCCCTTCCCAACCTTGTCCCGGCCCCTCAGGCCTCTGCGGGAACTTCAACGGCCTGGAAGGGGACGACTTCAAGACGGCCGGGGGGCTGGTGGAGGCCACGGGCGCCGGCTTTGCCAACACCTGGAAGGTCCAGGCGAGCTGCCAGGACAAGCAGGACTGGCTGGACGACCCCTGCTCCCTCAACATCGAGAGCGGTGAGGCTCAGCTGCTGGGGCCCTGGCCCCGGGGAGGCGGGGCTCCCGGGGGACGTGGAGGGTGGCTGAGGGGTGGCCGGCCGGCCGCCTGCTGCCTTCCTGCTGCCTTGCGGCTGGCTTACAGCGGCCCATGGTGGCAGCCGGCTGAGGGACCCAGCAGAGGGCCTGCTAATCCATGGGTGGTGGCCTCGACCGGACGCCCTCACACCCACCGGGCCGCCCGCCACGTCCGGGGAGCTGGCGAGAGGCGAGGGGCACCTTGCTCGCCTGCCCTGAAGGGAGGGGACTGGTCTGTCCCACCGAGGGCGGCGTCTGCTCCAGCCTGGGCAACGGGGAAGCGGGCCCCGGGGACGTGCTAGAGGGGCCGTCCCACTGAGCGGCTGAACCTTCCGCAGCCAACTACGCCGAGCACTGGTGCTCCCTGCTGAAGAAGACCGAGACCCCGTTCGAGAGGTGCCACTCCGCCGTGGACCCAGCGGAGTATTACAAGGTGGGTGGGCACGCAGCGGCCGCCCCCGGCTCAGCCCCACCCCTCCTGTGGGAAACTGCTGAGTGTGTGTGCACAAGCACATGCATATCGCGGCATGTGTGAGTGCACATGCGATGAAGGGTGGGCGTGTGCACGGGTGTAAGGGCTGCGTGTACGAGTGCTTGTGCACGGCTGTAAGGGCTGCATGTCTGAGGGCATGGGCGTGATGTTCCCCAGCCGGCTCCCACCTCACAGCCCGTTTGCCCCCCAGAGGTGCAAGTATGACACTTGCAACTGCCAGAACACGGAGGACTGCATGTGCGCCGCCCTGTCCTCGTACGCCCGCGCCTGCGCCACCAAGGGCGTCATGCTGTGGGGCTGGCGGGAGCGTGTCTGCAGTGAGTCCTGGGCTCTGGCCAGCCTTTCCGGTCCCTGCCGCCCCTCCCTGGCTGTCGATGGGGGAGGGTGTGTGGGGTGACATCGCAGGGGCTAGTGCGGAACCAGCCTGCGCCTCTCTGCTGCCCTGGAGGAGCTTGGAATCCCTCAGCCCAGAAGGAGGGGCATGAGGCCCCTGTGTGGCCGGGATGGGCCCAGGGTGACCGCTCTGCTGGCCCCTCGGCTGGGCAGGCGTCCCGGCCGGACACAGGGCTCGGGGCTGGCCTTCGGGGAAGGGAGCTGGGGGCTGCTCCGCCTCACCCGGGCCCCTCCCCTCTGCAGACAAGGGCCTGGACTCCTGCCCCAAGTCACAGGTCTTCCTGTACAACCTGACCACCTGCCAGCAGACCTGCCGCTCGCTGTCTGAGTCCGACACCCACTGCCTGCAGGGCTTCGCGCCCGTGGACGGCTGCGGCTGCCCTGACCACATGTTCCTGGACGAGAAGGGCCGCTGCGTGCCCCTGGCCAAGTGCTCCTGCTACTACCGCGGCCTCTACCTGGAGGCGGGGGAGGTGGTCCTGAGGCAGGAGGAGCGATGGTGGGTGTCCTGGGGCAGCGGAGGGAGCGCCCCGTCTGCAGGGGGACCCACCCCCTACCTGCCTGCCCGCCCCACGGAGCCACTGGGCCCGGCTCACCCCACCTCTCCCTCTCAGCGTCTGCCGGAACGGGAGGCTGAGCTGCATACAGGTCAAGCTGATCGGCCAGGGTGAGTGGCCGCCGCCTCGTGCGTGGCCTCCCGCCCCCCACGCTGCTCCCTTGCCTGCCTGAGCCCCCACCCAGCTTCAGTTGAGCTCAGTGGCCCCTTTGGTCCTACAGCCTGCAAGGCCCCGAAGATCCACATCGACTGCAACAACGTGACGGCGCTGGCCATCCGGAACCCCAGGCCTGTCAGCTGCCAGACGCTGGCTGCCGGCTACGTGCGTTTTGGGGGCGCTGCTGAGGCAGGGGGCACACAGGGGGCTCCCGTGTGGCCCCGAGGCTCTGGATCCTGGGCCCTCGGACGCTCAGGCTTCGCTGCCCCCTCATCCCTTGAGGGAGTGGCTGCCTGTGGGCCCCTGCCCGGCCCTCTGGGGGGACAGGGACCGTGTAGGTGCCCCAGGCCGGCCGTTCTCACTTGTCTTCCAGCCCTGCGGGGAGCCTGAGGGTGGGGCTCTGGAGGCTGGACCAGGGTGCGGGGTTGAGGATCGGAGAGTGGGGTGGGGGACACGAGTGGATGTCTGCAGCATCAGAAGAGGGGCTGGCCAACCTGGGCCTGGCATCTGGTCCTTGAACCCCACTCTCCAATTGCCCCCCAGTACCAGACAGAGTGCATCAGTGGCTGCGTGTGCCCCGAGGGGCTGATTGACGACGGCCGGGGTGGCTGCGTGGTGGAGGAGGCGTGCCCGTGTGTGCACAACAATGACCTGTACTCACCCGGGGACAAGATCACGGTGGACTGCAACACCTGGTGAGGGCCTGGGCCTCGCTCTGATCCCCGAGCGGCCCGTCAGGAGCCTGCTCGGGGGCACGGGCCTCCTCTGTGTGTGAGCTGCTGGGCCCTTTCTGCAGGCTGCCAGGCTGCTCTCTGAGCAGGGTTGGGGAACCTGGGCTGCTGCAGCCCCTCCAGCCCCCATCTCCCTCTCCCCAGCACCTGCCAGAAAGGGCGCTGGGCGTGCACCCAATTGGTGTGCCACGGCACCTGTACCATCTACGGGAGCGGCCACTACATCACCTTCGATGGGAAGTACTATGACTTCGATGGACACTGCTCCTACGTGGCCCTGCAGGTGAGGCTGAAGGCACGGCCAGGGCCTGCCTCTGTTCTGTGGCCCCTGCGCTGGCCACAGGGTTGTCCCAGCCCAGTGAGGAGGCTCCGAGCGGATGGGGTCTGGGGTCGGAGGGGAGCCCTTCCTCGGCCCTCCCATTCCATGACCTTCCCGTGGGTGTCGGGGGTGTGGGGTGCGCAGGGACACGTGTGGGGGGGTGGTTAAGCCACCTTTCAGCAGAGGAGGGGCTGAGGAGGGGCCCAGCTGGGGTGGGCCCTCACCCCGTGGCTGGGTCAGCCTGGCTCATGTGCCCTTGGGCCCCCAGGACTATTGCGGCCAGAACACCTCCCTGGGTTCCTTCAGCATCCTCACCGAGAATGTGCCCTGTGGTACCACGGGGGTCACCTGCTCCAAGGCCATCAAGATCTTCATTGGGGTGAGTGCTGCCCACCCCACCCCCCAGGGGGGTGCATGGTCCTTGGGGGACCCTCGGACCAGGCCAGTGATGGGCCCTCTCCACTGGGCACAGAGGACAGTGCTGAAGCTGGAGGACAGACACTGCATGGTGATCCAGCGTGATGTGGGCGACCATGTGGCCTACATCATGCGGGATGTGGGCCAGTACCTGGTGGTGGAGGCCAGCATCGGGGTCATCGTCATCTGGGACAGGAAGACCACCATCTTCATCAAGCTGACCCCCTCCTACAAGGTGTGCAGCCGCCCTGCCTGCCTGGGCAGCCCGTGCCTGTGAGTCCACCTGGGCCGCCTCCAGCACCCTCCCTCTCGCGAGGCCCCCCCCCCGGCAAAGCCCCCTGTCCGGCTTGTCTCCGCAGGGCACGGTGTGTGGCCTGTGTGGGAACTTCGACCAGCAGTCCAACAACGACTTCACCACGCGGGACAGCATGGTGGTGGACAGCGAGCTGGACTTCGGGAACAGTTGGAAGGAGGCCTCCACCTGTCCGGACGTGACGACCACCCCGGAGCCTTGCGCCGTGAACCTGCACCGCCGCTCCTGGTCGGAGAAGCAGTGCAGCATCATCAAAAGCCGGGTTTTCCAGCTCTGCCACAGCAAGGTGGGCGGGGCGTGGGTGTGGGCGGGGCCACGGGTGTGGGCGGAGCCACAGCAAGGTGGGAGGGGCGTGGGCGTGTCGGCCTGTGGGCGGGGCCACAGGCCAGGCGCTGTCCCTGCAGGGTCGCCCCTCAGCTCTGTCCTGTGTGTCCTTTGGACACATGACCAGAGGCCCAGTATTTCCTCTGAGAGACGTGGCTGGACCCACAGGCTCTCCCGTACCTTCCAGGAAGGGAGACAGGGCGCAACCCACCCAGACAGCCCTCTGCTGCCGGCAGTGGTCGGGAGAGTGGTCGGTGGGGGCGGGTGTGGTGGGCACCGTCGCGGGACGCCCCCCGGCAGCGCCCTGGGGTCCCGGCCTCGGGGTCCTGAGCTTCTGCGGCCACAGGGGAGGGCCCGGCCCCGGGAGGGCAGCGTGGGCCCTGGCACATGGAGGCCCCTCCCCAGGTGGACCCCATGCCCTTCTACGAGGCCTGCGTCCAAGACTCGTGCTCCTGTGACACTGGCGGGGACTGTGAGTGCTTCTGCTCCGCCGTGGCCTCTTACGCCCAGCAGTGCACCAAGGAGGGCGCCTGCGTGTACTGGAGGACACCCGACCTGTGCCGTGAGTGCCTGCCTGACCTGGTCCCCGGGCACCAGCGGGGCAGGGTGTGAGCTGCTGGGCGGTGGGTGGGGCTGCTGCCCCGGGGAAGGGGGTGTCCATGGTCCCCTCCCCGCCTCCGCCCTCCCCAAGTCTGACCGCACCCCTACCCCCAGCCATATTCTGCGACTACTACAACCCCCCGAATGAGTGTGAGTGGCACTACGAGCCTTGCGGGAACCGCAGCTTCGAGACCTGTCGGACCGTCAACGGCATCCACTCCAACATCTCCATATCCTACCTGGAGGGTGAGGGGCCCCGTGGGGTGTCGCCCTGAGTGCCAGGGGGACCAGGCTCGCCCTGCTGCAGTTTGTTCATCAGACAGTCCGTTGGGAGTCTGAGCTGAGACCCCACTCTCGAGCAAGAGACAGAAAGGGGGCAGGTTAGCACACCACGAAGTCGGGGCCTCTGAGGTCAGGAGAGAAGGTGCTGTGGGAAAAGAGCAGGTCAGAATGAGGTGGGGGGTGAGGAGGCCCCTGAGCTGAGAAAAGCTGAGAACTAGAGAGACCATGTGGGGAGGGCGCAGGGGCCATGCCCCCCAGGAGGCTGGGCGGGGCCCGGCTGTCCCTTTGGCCAGGTGGCAGCGCCACGGCAGTAGGAGGGGGTTGGTCCAGGCCCCCCTTCTCAGAGGGCATCCTGGAGAAGAGGACCTCCTGGGGCGGGGAGGGTGGGCAGGGTGAGGTGGACGGGGTGGATGTGGGTCTTCCGTGCTGGTCCAAGCCCAGCACCCTGTGCCCACCAGGCTGCTACCCCCGGTGCCCGAGGCATAGCCCCATCTACGACGAGGAGCTGAAGGCGTGTGTCACCAGGGACCAATGCGGCTGCTACATCAACAACACTCGCTACACACCAGGAACGTCCGTCCCCACAGGGCACATCTGCCACTCTTGGTACCTAAGCTCACGTCGCAGGGGCCCGGGGAGATTGGCACGCACACACACATGCATGCGCATTCATGCACCCGGGGAGGGGAGAGGTGGCCCGTGTTGCCTCTGCACCCTTGCCTCGTCCCTGCTCTGCCCACACTGGGAACCCAGGTGGGCTCCCGAGCCAGCCTTTGGGGCAGTGTTTCCCTGAGGCTGCGGGCCTGTCGTGGGCTGTGGGGGGCGGGTGAGAGGGCACAGGCTCAGGCCTGCAGCCTCGCGCTTGCTTTTCAGCATGTGTACCGACTCCTCGACAGTTGTCTGCTGGGTTGATGAAGGTAAGCTGCCCACCCCCGGACACTCCTTCTGGACCCACCTGGCTTCTGGGTGGGTGCAACCTCCTGCGCTTCCCTGCCCCTTCCTCCCTACTCTTCATCCGTGTGGCCGCCTTGGGCCCCTCCAGGCTCGGAGGTGCCTCTGGTTTGCAGCAGCCCTAGGACTCACCCGACGCGTCTGTGTTTCTCCTGATGGGGAGCAAAGCCCCTTCTGTGACACAGCTTCTGTGTTCTGATGGGCTCCGCTGAGGGTCCTGGGCGCGGGGTCCCAGCGGGCGCTGGCTGGCCATTTGTTGGGGGTGGGGGACCTGTCTCCCCTCGTGTGGATGGGCCGAGGGGGCCTTGGGAGCCTCTGTCTTGTTCCTGATGTGTTCCTCCCGCAGGGAGGATTGTCAACAGCACCCAGGACGGCTCCTTCTGCTACTGGGAGTTCTGTGGCCCCAACGGGACGGTGCAGCAACACTTCAACGTCTGTGTGTCCCACTCAACCCCCATCACGACAACACCCCCCACCACCACCTCCACCACCACCAGCATCACTCCGACCTCCAGCACAGGTAAGGCCTCCTCCCATGCCGGGGGCCTGCCTTCCCCTGAGCCCGGCAGGGATGGCCCTTCTAGGCAGGTGGGAAGTGATGACCTGCCTCTCAGCTCGGGGCATGTCCCCCGCCCCCTCCCACGTTTTGACCACAGCCCCGAGCCCAGAGCAGAGTGACAGCAGCCGGGACACGGGGCCATTTCCCCAGACCTGCAGGTGCCACCCCTGAGGGCTAGAGGAGGCCGCCAGGCGCCCCGGGTCCCTCAGCTGCAATCGTAGCTAGTGCAGAGCGAGCTGCCAGGTGTATAACAGCCACCGGGAAAAGAAACATGAAAATTAAAAGATTTAACAAACCTCAGTCCTGTACAATGACATTCTCTTTCCCCCACGTTTTACCGCAGCGCCACCTTCCTCTTCACCCACTACCGGTAAGTCACATTAGCGGCTGGTCCCATGACTCAGGGCGGGGAGCAGCAGAAAGTGTGCCTCCCTCGAGACCCCGATGTGGGCTGGGCTGTGAGGCCGGACCACCGGCTCAGGGACTGGAGGTGATCTATTTTGGTGACCTGATTACTGATTTGTTGAGCCCAGGGACTCATGCAGGGGACTTAACTAGCTCTGGGTGAAAACACTGGTCAAGAGTCCAGCCTGAGCCCCACCAGCAGGCTTCTGGGCTGAGCTGGGTGGCCCTTTCCTCGTTCATTTGTTTGGCTTATGGATTTGAAGGTAGCTGAGGAAGGGGCACTCGGCTGGTGCCCTCAGGCCTGGGTCTGTCACTGGTGGGGTGTGGGGTCTTGGGTTTTTAGCTGCAGAAAAAGGGGAGAAGTAGAGGGTGGACGATTAGGCTCAGCCTGAAGTCTCTGAGCCTACCCCGGGCCCTTTGGTGATGATGTGGACAGCTGGTCACGGGGGTCTCTGGGTTCTCTGAGCCTGTTGACCTCCTGAAAGGCGCACCCCCACCTGACTGACCAATGCCGGTCTTGCTTGCCTAGTTGCCTGCTGCTCCTGGTCCGACTGGATCAACAATGACTATCCCAGTGCTGACAGTGATGGCGGGGACCGAGAGAGGTTTGATGGTGTCTGCAGGGCCCCCCAGGACATCGAGTGCAGGGCAGCTGTGGAGCCCCTGCTCAGCTGGGAGACGCTGGGCCAGAAGGCTCGGTGTGACGTCTCCGTCGGGTTCATTTGCAAGAATGAAGACCAGTTTGGAAACGGACCTTTTGGGGTCTGCTACGACTACGAGATACGAGTCTATTGCTGCCAGCAGAAGGATGAGTGTCCTACCTCGACCCCAACCACCCTGCCAACCACCACCCCAACCACCACCCCACCGACCACAACCCCGACCACACCACCAAACAACACCCCGTTGACCACCAGCCCATCCACTCCACCAACCCCCACCACCACCCCACCGACCACCACCCCAACTACCACCCCACGAACCACCACCCCAACCACCCCACCAACCACCACCCCACTGACCACCACCCCAACCACAACCCCACTGATCACCACCCCAACCACCACCCCTCTGACCACCACCCCAACCACCCCATCAACCACCACCCCACTGACTACCACCCCAACCACTCCACCAACCACCACCCCAACCATCCCACCAACCACCACCCCACTGACCACCACCACTCCTCCCTCCCCACCGACCACCTCGCCAACCACTATCCCAACTGCAACCACTACAATCACCACAGTGACACCAACCTCTCTGTGTCTGCCAGACTGCAGATGGACTGGATGGCTGGATTCTGGTAAACCAGATTATACCAAAGCAGGTGGAGACGTTGAATCCCTTGAGAACATCTGTGTCAATGGCTCAGTAACCAACATTTCCTGCAGAGCAGCCATGTTTCCCAACACTCCCCTCCAAGACCTTGAACAAACTGTGGTGTGTAATACATCTGTCGGGCTTGTGTGCAAAAACCAGGACCAGAGGTCAGGGGGAGCCACCCCCATGCCTGCCTGCCTCAACTATGAGATTGACGTCTACTGCTGTTTTGTTCCACCTTCCTGTGTCACCACACCTTTGACCACCACTACGGAGACCCCTGCTACAACACCCTCCATGGCTTCAACTGGGACTCTGATGGCATCCTCTAGCACCACCTCAAGAGAGACAACAACCACCACACCGACAACCACAGTGACCCCAAGCCCGCCATCTACCACCACTACAACAGAGACTTCAACCCCAACACCCACCACAACAGAGACCACTACCCCCATCACTACCACAGAGACCACCACCCCCACCACCACCACAGAGACCACCACCCCCATCACTACCACAGAGACCACCACCCCCACCACCACCACAGGGACCACCACCCCCACCACCACCACAGAGACCACCACCCCCCCCACCACCACAGAGACCACCACTCCCATCACCACCACAGAGACCACCACCCCCACCACCACCACAGGGACCACCACCCCCACCACCACCACAGAGACCACCACCCCCATCACTGCCACAGAGACCACCACCCCCATCACTACCACAGAGACCACCACCCCCACCACCACCACAGGGACCACCACCCCCACCACCACCACAGGGACCACCACCCCCATCACTACCACAGAGACCACCACCCCCAGCACTACCACAGAGACCACCACCCCCACCACCACCATAGGGACCACCACCCCCACCACTACCACAGAGACCACCACCCCCCCCACCACCACAGAGACCACCACCCCCATCACCACCACAGAGACCACCACCCCCACCACTACCACAGAGACCACCACCCCCACCACCACCACAGGGACCACCACCCCCACCACTACCACGGAGACCACCACCCCCAGCACTACCACAGAGACCACCACCCCCATCACTGCCACAGAGACCACCATCCCCATCACTACCACAGAGACCACCACCCCCACCACCACCACAGAGACTACCACCCCCATCACTGCCACAGAGACCACCACCCCCATCACTACCACAGAGACCACCACCCCCACCACCACCACAGAGACCACCACCCCCACCACCACCACAGGGACCACCACCCCCCCCACCACCACAGGGACCACCACCCCCCCCACCACCACAGGGACCACCACCCCCATCACCACCACAGAGCCCACCACCCCCATCACTGCCACAGAGACCACCATCCCCATCACTACCACAGAGACCACCACCCCCACCACCACCACAGTGACCACCACCCCCATCACTACCACAGAGACCACCACCCCCACCACTACCACAGAGACCACCACCCCCACCACCACCACAGGGACCACCACCCCCACCACCACCACAGAGACCACCACCCCCACCACAGCCACAGGGACCACTACCCCCACCACTATCACAACCACAGAAACCCCAACTCCAACACCCACAACCACAGTGACCCCAGGCCCTTCATTTACCACCACCACCACAGAGACCCCAATTCCAACACAAAGTATCACAGGGACCCCAACCCCAATACCCACCACCACAGTGACCCCGAGCCCACCATCTCCCACCACCACAACCACCACCGTCTTTCCAAGCACCCCCACCACATTGCCATCCACAGTGACAGCCCCCGGTATAACAGCCACGCCTACACGGGAAACCACTACCACCCCAGCCACAACCACGTCTACCACAGAAGGGACCACCACGGTGATACCAACCTCTCCGTGTTTGCCAGAGTGCAGATGGACTGGCTGGCTGGATTCTGGTAAACCGAATGATACTAAAGCAGAGGGAGATGTTGAATCCCTTGAGAACATCTGTGCGAGGGGCTGGGTAGCCAACATCTCCTGCAGAGCGGCTGACTATCCTAAGGTTCCCCTCCAAGAGCTTGAACAAACTGTGGTGTGTGACACCTCTGTTGGGCTTGTGTGCAAAAACCAGGACCAGAAGTCATGGGGAGCCACCTCCACGCCTGCCTGCCTCAACTATGAGATTGACGTCTACTGCTGTTTTGTTCCACCTTTCTGTGTCACCACACCTTCGACCACCAGTACGGAGACCCCAGGCTCATCATCTACCACCCCTTCATCAGAGACCTCAGGTCCTACCACCACAGAGACCCCAGCTACAACACCCTCCATGGCTTCAACTGGGACTCCGATGCCAACCTCTAGCACCACCTCAAGAGAGACAAGAACCACCACACCAACAAGCACGGTGACCCCAAGCCCTACCACTACTACAGCAGAGACTTCAACCCCAACACCCACCACCACAGAGACCACCACCCCCAGCACTACCACAGAGACCACCACCCCCACAACTACCACAGAGACCACCACCCCCACCACTGCCACAGAGACCACCACCCCCACCACTACCACAGAGACCACCACCCCCAGTACTACCACAGAGACCACCACCCCCATCACTACCACAGAGACCACCACCCCCATCACTACCACAGAGACCCCCATCACTGCCACAGAGACCACCACCCCCATCACTACCACAGAGACCCCCATCACTGCCACAGAGACCACCACCCCCATCATTGCCACAGAGACCACCACCCCCATCACTACCACAGAGATCATTACCCCCACCACTACCACAGAGACCACCACCCCCACCACTACCACAGAGACCCCCAGCACTACCACAGAGACCACCACCCCCAGCACTACCACAACCACAGTGACCCCAACCCCAACACCCAGCACCTCAGAGAGCACAACCCCCATCACTAGCAGAGAGACCACCACTCCCACCACTACCACAACCACAGGGACCCCAAGGCCTCCATCTACCACCACCACAGAGACCCCAACTCCAACACCCAGCACCTCAGAGACCACAACTCCCACCATTACCACAACCACAGAGACCCCAAGGCCTCCATCTACCACCACCACCACAGAGACCGCACCTCCAACACCCACCACCACAGTGACCCCGAGCCCACCATCTCCCACCACCACAACCACCACCGTCTTTCCAAGCACCCCCATCACATTGCCATCCACAGTGACAGCCCCCGGTATAACAGCCACGCCTACACGGGAAACCACTACCACCCCAGCCACAACCACGTCTACCATAGAAGGGACCACCACGGTGATACCAACCTCTCCGTGTTTGCCAGAGTGCAGATGGACTGGCTGGCTGGATTCTGGTAAACCGAATGATACTAAAGCAGATGGAGATGTTGAATCCCTTGAGAACATCTGTGCGAGGGGCTGGGTAGCCAACATCTCCTGCAGAGCGGCTGACTATCCTAAGGTTCCCCTCCAAGAGCTTGAACAAACTGTGGTGTGTGACACCTCTGTTGGGCTTGTGTGCAAAAACCAGGACCAGAAGTCATGGGGAGCCACCTCCACGCCTGCCTGCCTCAACTATGAGATTGACGTCTACTGCTGTTTTGTTCCACCTTTCTGTGTCACCACACCTTCGACCACCAGTACGGAGACCCCAGGCTCATCATCTACCACCCCTTCATCAGAGACCTCAGGTCCTACCACCACAGAGACCCCAGCTACAACACCCTCCATGGCTTCAACTGGGACTCCGATGCCAACCTCTAGCACCACCTCAAGAGAGACAAGAACCACCACACCAACAAGCACGGTGACCCCAAGCCCTACCACTACTACAGCAGAGACTTCAACCCCAACACCCACCACCACAGAGACCACCACCCCCAGCACTACCACAGAGACCACCACCCCCACAACTACCACAGAGACCACCACCCCCAGTACTGCCACAGAGACCACCACCCCCACCACTACCACAGAGACCACCACCCCCAGTACTACCACAGAGACCACCACCCCCACCACTACCACAGAGACCACCACCCCCAGAACTACCACAGAGATCACTACCCCCACCACTACCTCAGAGACCACCACCCCCACCACTACCACAGAAACCACCACCCCCAGCACTACCACAGAGACCACCACCCCCAGCACTATCACAGAGACCACCACCCCCAGCACTACCACAGAGACCCCCAGCACTACCAGAGAGACCACCACCCCCATCACTGCCACAACCACAGTGACCCCAACCCCAACACCCAGCACCTCAGAGAGCACAACCCCCATCACTAGCACAGAGACCACCACTCCCACCACTACCACAACCACAGGGACCCCAAGGCCTCCATCTACCACCACCACCACAGAGATCCCAACTCCAACACCCACCACCACAGTGACCCCGAGCCCACCATCTCCCACCACCACAACCACCACCGTCTTTCCAAGCACCCCCACCACATTGCCATCCACAGTGACAGCCCCCGGTATAACAGCCACGCCTACACGGGAAACCACTACCACCCCAGCCACAACCACGTCTACCACAGAAGGGACCACCACGGTGATACCAACCTCTCCGTGTTTGCCAGAGTGCAGATGGACTGGCTGGCTGGATTCTGGTAAACCGAATGATACTAAAGCAGAGGGAGATGTTGAATCCCTTGAGAACATCTGTGCGAGGGGCTGGGTAGCCAACATCTCCTGCAGAGCGGCTGACTATCCTAAGGTTCCCCTCCAAGAGCTTGAACAAACTGTGGTGTGTGACACCTCTGTTGGGCTTGTGTGCAAAAACCAGGACCAGAAGTCATGGGGAGCCACCTCCACGCCTGCCTGCCTCAACTATGAGATTGACGTCTACTGCTGTTTTGTTCCACCTTTCTGTGTCACCACACCTTCGACCACCAGTACGGAGACCCCAGGCTCATCATCTACCACCCCTTCATCAGAGACCTCAGGTCCTACCACCACAGAGACCCCAGCTACAACACCCTCCATGTCTTCAACTGGGACTCCGATGCCAACCTCTAGCACCACCTCAAGAGAGACAAGAACCACCACACCAACAAGCACGGTGACCCCAAGCCCTACCACTACTACAGCAGAGACTTCAACCCCAACACCCACCACCACAGAGACCACCACCCCCAGCACTACCACAGAGACCACGACCCCCAGCACTACCACAGGGACCACCACCCCCACCACTACCACAGAGACCACCACCCCCACCACTACCACAGAGACCACCACCCCCACCACTACCACAGAGACCACCACCCCCAGCACTACCATAGAGACCACCACCCCCAGCACTACCACAGAGACCACCACCCTCACCACTACCACAGAGACCCCCAGCACTACCACGGAGACCACCACCCCCATCACTGCCACAGAGACCACCACCCCCACCATTGCCACAGAGACCACCACTCCCACCACTACCACAGAGACCACCACCCCCATCACTACCACAGAGACCCCCAGCACTACCACGGAGACCACCACCCCCATCACTACCACAGAGACTACCACCCCCATCACTACCACAGAGACCCCCAGCACTACCACGGAGACCACCACCCCCATCACTGCCACAGAGACCACCACCCCCAGAACTACCACAGAGATCACTACCCCCACCACTACCACAGAGACCACCACCCCCACCATTACCACAGGGACCACCATCCCCACCACTACCACAGAGACCCCCAGCACTACCACAGAGACCACCACCCCCAGCACTATCACAGAGACCACCACCCCCAGCACTACCACAGAGACCCCCAGCACTACCAGAGAGACCACCACCCCCATCACTACCACAACCACAGTGACCCCAACCCCAACACCCAGCACCTCAGAGAGCACAACCCCCATCACTAGCACAGAGACCACCACTCCCACCACTACCACAACCACAGGGACCCCAAGGCCTCCATCTACCACCACCACCACAGAGATCCCAACTCCAACACCCACCACCACAGTGACCCCGAGCCCACCATCTCCCACCACCACAACCACCACCATCTTTCCAAGCACCCCCACCACATTGCCATCCACAGTGACAGCCCCCGGTATAACAGCCACGCCTACACGGGAAACCACTACCACCCCAGCCACAACCACGTCTACCACAGAAGGGACCACCACGGTGATACCAACCTCTCCGTGTTTGCCAGAGTGCAGATGGACTGGCTGGCTGGATTCTGGTAAACCGAATGATACTAAAGCAGAGGGAGATGTTGAATCCCTTGAGAACATCTGTGCGAGGGGCTGGGTAGCCAACATCTCCTGCAGAGCGGCTGACTATCCTAAGGTTCCCCTCCAAGAGCTTGAACAAACTGTGGTGTGTGACACCTCTGTTGGGCTTGTGTGCAAAAACCAGGACCAGAAGTCATGGGGAGCCACCTCCACGCCTGCCTGCCTCAACTATGAGATTGACGTCTACTGCTGTTTTGTTCCACCTTTCTGTGTCACCACACCTTCGACCACCAGTACGGAGACCCCAGGCTCATCATCTACCACCCCTTCATCAGAGACCTCAGGTCCTACCACCACAGAGACCCCAGCTACAACACCCTCCATGTCTTCAACTGGGACTCCGATGCCAACCTCTAGCACCACCTCAAGAGAGACAAGAACCACCACACCAACAACCACGGTGACCTCAAGCCCTACCACTACTACAGCAGAGACTTCAACCCCAACACCCACCACCACAGAGACCACCACCCCCAGCACTACCACAGAGACCACCACCCCCACAACTACCACAGAGACCACCACCCCCAGTACTGCCACAGAGACCACCACCCCCACCACTACCACAGAGACCACCACCCCCAGTACTACCACAGAGACCACCACTCCCATCACTACCACAGAGACCCCCAGCACTACCACAGAGACCACCACCCCCATCACTGCCACAGAGACCACCACCCGCAGAACTACCACAGAGATCACTACCCCCACCACTACCACAGAGACCACCACCCCCACCACTACCACAGAGACCCCCAGCACTACCACAGAGACCACCACCCCCAGCACTATCACAGAGACCACCACCCCCAGCACTACCACAGAGACCACCACCCCCACCACTGCCACAGAGACCACCACCCCCATCACTACCACAGAGACCACCACCCCCATCACTACCACAGAGACCCCCAGCACTACCACAGAGACCACCACCCCCACCACTACCACAGAGACCACCACCCCTACCACTACCACAGAGACCATCACCCCCACCACTACCACAGAGACCACCACCCCCACCACTACCACAGAGACCCCCAGCACTACCAGAGAGACCACCACCCCCATCACTACCACAACCACTGTGACCCCAACTCCAACACCCAGCACCTCAGAGAGCACAACCCCCATCACTAGCACAGAGACCACCACTCCCACCACTACCACAACCACAGGGACCCCAAGGCCTCCATCTACCACCACCACAGAGACCCCAACTCCAACACCCAGCACCTCAGAGACCACAACTCCCACCACTACCACAACCACAGGGACCCCAAGGCCTCCATCTACCACCACCACAGAGACCCCACCTCCAACACCCACCACCACAGAGACCACAACTCCTACCACTACCACAACCAATGTGACCCCAACCCCAACACCCAGCACCTCAGAGAGCACAACCCCCATCACTAGCACAGAGACCACCACTACCACAACCACAGGGACCCCAAGGCCTCCATCTACCACCACCAGAGAGACCCCAACTCCAACACCCACCCCCTCAGAGAGCACACCTCCCAGCACTACCACAACCACAGGGACCCCAAGGCCTCTATCTACCACCACCACCACAGAGATCCCAACTCCAACACCCACCACCACAGTGACCCCGAGCCCACCATCTCCCACCACGACAACCACCACCGTCTATCCAAGCACCCCCACCACATTGCCATCCACAGTGACAGCCCCCGGTATAACAGCCACGCCTACATGGGAAACCACTACCACCCCAGCCACAACCACGTCTACCACAGAAGGGACCACCACGGTGATACCAACCTCTCCGTGTTTGCCAGAGTGCAGATGGACTGGCTGGCTGGATTCTGGTAAACCGAATGATTCTAGAGCAGGTGGAGATGTTGAATCCCTTGAGAACATCTGTGCGAGGGGCTGGGTAGCCAATATCTCCTGCAGAGCGGCTGACTATCCTAAGGTTCCCCTCCAAGAGCTTGAACAAACTGTGGTGTGTGACACCTCTGTTGGGCTTGTGTGCAAAAACCAGGACCAGAAGTCATGGGGAGCCACCTCCACGCCTGCCTGCCTCAACTATGAGATTGACGTCTACTGCTGTTTTGTTCCACCTTTCTGTGTCACGACACCTTCGACCACCACTACAGAGACCCCAGGCTCATCATCTACCACCCCTTCATCAGAGACCTCAGGTCCTACCACCACAGAGACCCCAGCTACAACACCCTCCATGGCTTCAACTGGGACTCCGATGCCAACTTCTAGCACCACCTCAAGAGAGACAAGAACCACCACACCAACAACCACGGTGACCTCAAGCCCTACCACTACTACAGCAGAGACTTCAACCCCAACACCCACCACCACAGAGATCACTACTCCCACCACTACCACAGAGACCACCACCCCCACCACTACCACAGAGACCACCACCCCCACCACTGCCACAGAGACCACCACCCCCAGTACTACCACAGAGACCACCACCCCCATCACTACCACAGAGACCACCACCCCCATCACTACCACAGAGACCACCACCCCCAGTACTACCACAGAGACCACCACCCCCACCACTACCACAGAGACCACCACCCCCAGAACTACCACAGAGACCACCACCCCCAGCACTACCACAGAGACCACCACCCTCACCACTACCACAGAGACCACCACCCCCACCACTACCACAGAGACCACCACCCCCAGTACTACCACAGAGACCACCACCCCCACCACTACCACAGAGACCACCACCCCCAGAACTACCACAGAGACCACCACCCCCAGCACTACCACAGAGACCACCACCCTCACCACTACCACAGAGACCACCACCCCCAGCACTACCACAGAGACCACCACCCTCACCACTACCACAGAGACCACCACCCCCAGCACTACCACAGAGACCACCACCCTCACCACTACCACAGAGACCACCACCCCCACCACTGCCACAGAGACCACCACCCCCACCACTACCACAGAGACCACCACCCCCAGTACTACCACAGAGACCACCACCCCCAGCACTACCACAGAGACCACCACCCTCACCACTACCACAGAGACCACCACCCCCAGCACTACCACAGAGACCACCACCCTCACCACTACCACAGAGACCACCACCCCCAGCACTACCACAGAGACCACCACCCTCACCACTACCACAGAGACCACCACCCCCAGCACTACCACAGAGACCACCACCCTCACCACTACCACAGAGACCACCACCCCCAGCACTACCACAGAGACCACCACCCTCACCACTACCACAGAGACCACCACCCCTACCACTGCCACAGAGACCACCACCCCCATCACTACCACAGAGACTACCACCCCCATCACTACCACAGAGACCACCACTCCTACCACTGCCACAGAGACCACCACCCCCATCACTACCACAGGGACCACCACCCCCACCACTACCACAGAGACCACCACCCCCATCACTGCCACAGAGACCACCACCCCCAGAACTACCACAGAGATCACTACCCCCACCACTACCACAGAGACCACCACCCCCACCATTACCACAGGGACCACCATCCCCACCACTACCACAGAGACCCCCAGCACTACCACAGAGACCACCACCCCCAGCACTATCACAGAGACCACCACCCCCAGCACTACCACAGAGACCCCCAGCACTACCAGAGAGACCACCACCCCCATCACTACCACAACCACAGTGACCCCAACCCCAACACCCAGCACCTCAGAGAGCACAACCCCCATCACTAGCACAGAGACCACCACTCCCACCACTACCACAACCACAGGGACCCCAAGGCCTCCATCTACCACCACCACCACAGAGATCCCAACTCCAACACCTATCACCACAGTGACCCTGAGCCCACCATCTACCACCACCACAACCACCACTGTCTTTCCAAGCACCCCCACCACATTGCCATCCACAGTGACAGCCCCCGGTATAACAGCCACGCCTACACGGGAAACCACTACCACCCCAGCCACAACCACGTCTACCACAGAAGTGACCACCACGGTTATACCAAGCTCTCCGTGTTTGCCAGAGTGCAGATGGACTGGCTGGCTGGATTCTGGTAAACCGAATGATACTAAAGCAGGTGGAGATGTTGAATCCCTTGAGAACATCTGTGTGAGGGGCTGGGTAGCCAACATCTCCTGCAGAGCGGCTGACTATCCTAAGGTTCCCCTCCAAGAGCTTGAACAAACTGTGGTGTGTGACACCTCTGTTGGGCTTGTGTGCAAAAACCAGGACCAGAAGTCATGGGGAGCCACCTCCACGCCTGCCTGCCTCAACTATGAGATTGACGTCTACTGCTGTTTTGTTCCACCTTTCTGTGTCACCACACCTTCGACCACCACCATGGAGACCCAAACCACGACGCTCACTGTGACAGTGACCCCAAGCCAGCCATCTACCACTACCTCAACAGAGACTCCAACCACAATTCCCACTATCACTTCAACTGGGATTCCAACTCCGGCCTCCACCACTACCACAACAGAGACCCCACCTCCAACACCCACCACCTCACAGACCACGACTCCCACCACTACCACCACCACAGAGACCCCAAGGCCTCCATCTACCACCACCACCACAGAGACCCCACCTCCAACACCCACCACCACAGAGACCACAACTCCCACCACTACCACAACCACGGGGACCCCAACCCCAACACCTACTACCACAGTGATACCAGGTCCGCCATCTACCACCACCACAACCACAGAGACCCCAACTCCAACACCCACCCCCTCAGAGAGCACAACTCCCAGCACTACCACAACCACAGGGACCCCAAGGCCTCCATCTACCACCACCACAACCACAGAGACCCCAACTCCAACACCCACCCCCTCAGAGAGCACAACTCCCAGCACTACCACAACCACAGGGACCCCAAGGCCTCCATCTACCACCACCACAACCACAGGGACCCCAACTCCAACACCCACACCCTCAGAGAGCACAACTCCCACCACTACAACAACCACAGAGACCCCAGCTCCAGCACCCACCAGCACAGTGACGCCAGTCTGGCCGTCTACCACCACCACAGCTGTGGAGACCTCTAGCACACCACTGACCCTAACACTGACAGTGCCGACAGTCACTCCTGTGGGAGGCACGACCCTTCAAGGTACGTGGACACCTGTGTGGTTGTGTACTCATGGTTCTTCCTCTCATCAGGGTGCATCACAGCTCCTGGGAGTTCAGACAGGTGCCTCCATTCTTCCCAGGGAATGCAGTTCCCAGGAAGGTTTTAGAAGGACTCACTTGCTTTTCCTGCCCCCCTATGCCCTACCTCTAAGTGTTCACAGAGGTGCTGACCCTCCGCCTGTGCCTGCCCCCACGGGATGTCTTTCCTTGGGCACGGCTGCCCGTGGCCCGCATCCTCAGCCTATATCTGTATGATGGGCTCTGTGGGCAAAGCCACTCTGTGTGAGCCACCAAAGGACCTGGGGCCTCATGGGGCGTCGAGGCTGCCGGTCAGGCGCCCTGGGGGACCCTCCCTCTGTCTCTGCCTCTCCCCCTGGTGCTTCCCCCTGGGGCTTCGGGGGCCAGTGGTCAGCCCCTCCAGATGGAGCAGTGTCCTGTGGAGGCCTCCCCGTTACTCACCCCAAGGCCCATGCGCCTGCCACCCCATCCAGCCCCGAGGCCCGGAGCTGGGAAGTGGGTGGGAGGCCTTCACACCCCGTGCTGCGCCTCCAGGGGGCTGCCCATGTGTGTTTGCTGCCGGGCCACCTGTGCGCTGAGAGGCATGGACCCCCTCAGCCCTCACTACACCCTCCATTTTTACAGGCTGGCCGACCCCGGGCCCCACCTCCTCGAAGACCACCCCCACCCCTGGATCCACGACGGGGTCGCCTTTACCCAGCACAGGCCCTGCCTCCAGCCCCACTGCCACGCCTGCGTCAGCCACCTCCACAGGCGCTCCCACGTCAACGGGACGCCCGTCGGCCACGCCAGAGTCCACCAGCACCTGGACCTCCAGTGTGTCCACCTCCACTGTGACCCCAGCAACCTCCCCCCACATTACCACGAGCACTGGCGGGATCACCTCCAACTCCATAACTTCATGCTGCTCTTTGAATGACACCTACTATGCCCCAGGTATGCAAGCTCTTCATTCTGATTCAGGCAGCGCAGGCTGGTGGCGCTTTGCGTTCCCGGTGCTTAGGGCTCAGTCGAAGGTCTAAACTGGGAGCTTGCTTGGGAAGCTGGGTGCTGGGCCTGGGTGGATGTGTCCATGGCCAGCCCCACGTGCTACAGCCACAAATCAGGGGCAGTGGGAAGTGTGGGTGTCTCTCTCATGGCCCCTGGGGGAGTTAGCCTGTGTGCTCAGGGGGCCAGCCCTGTGTGGATGGTGTCAGCACTGGTCTCTCCCCTTGCAGGCGAGCTGGTGTACAACGGCACGCATGGAGACACCTGCTACTACGTGAACTGCTCGCTGAAGTGCGAGCTTGAGTTCTTCAACTGGTCATGCCCGTCCACATCCTCCCCAACACCCAGCCCATCCACAACTACCACCCATGAATCCAGTACACCCAACCCACTGGTCCCCGGGTGCCCGGACTTGGATCCTCCCAGGGAGGTCTGTGTCTGTGGGTGACTTTTGTCCCCTCTGGCGTCTAAAGCCCCAGGTGCTGGCTCTTCCTGTAGGTCATGCCCCTGCCTCTGTGGCCCACACCAGCCCCAGTCGGGTCAAGGCTTCAGGCGGCCTGCTGGGCGCAGGGTGTGTGGGGGCCATCCCACCTTCTCCCCTTGGCTGACTGCCGTCCTGGACAGGGTCGCCCTTGGCTCTCAGTCTCCTGGGCAGGGGCTTGCCAGCACGGCCCAGCCCTCCTGTGTGAGCCTGGGTGCCAGGCTAGTCCCGCTGACCCCGTGTCCTTCCCGCCCCCGCAGGAGAACGAGAGCTGGTGGATATGTAACTGCACCAAGGCCATCTGCAAGTACAACAACACCGTGGAGCTCGTGAAGGTGAAGTGCGAGCCCCCGCCCATGCCCACCTGCTCCAACGGCCTCACGCCCGTGCGTGTCGAGGACTCTGACAAGTGCTGCTGGCACTGGGAGTGCGACTGTAAGCCTGACGCCGTGCAGACCCCCCGCCTGCTCCCCCCGGGTGGGGGGCGGTGCTGCAGACCCCAGGGTGTCGTGATGGCATTGGTGGCTGAGTGCCTGCATAGGGTCAGGCCCCTGTCTGGAGCAGTTTCTCCTTCCTCCTGCTGGCTCCTCCGCTTGGCCAGGGTGCAGGAAAGGGCGGGGCTGGCCTGGTGGAGGGCGGCCACCGCTGAGAGCGGAGCGCAGAGGTGTCAGGACCAAAGCCGGGCCACTGTGGGCTGAGGGGCTTGTGCACTCTCGGGGCCCAGATGCCCTGAGTGCCCTGGGAGCCAGACTGCAGGGCCTTCCGCAGTTTCTGCCTGCCCTTCCCCCCCGAGCCTTGAGCATGTCCTGTCCCCATGCCGCCCCCAGTCGGGGGCGCGACGCGAGCTCACCCCACTTCCTCCACAGGCTACTGCACGGGCTGGGGGGACCCGCACTACGTCACCTTCGACGGGCTCTACTACAGCTACCAGGGCAACTGCACGTATGTGCTGGTGGAGGAGATCAGCCCCAAGGTGGACAACTTTGGGATCTACGTCGACAACTACCACTGTGACGTCAACGATGAAGTGTCCTGCCCCCGCACGCTCATCGTGCGCCACGAGACCCAGGAGGTGCTGATCAAGACTGTGCAGATGATGCCCATCAGGGTGCAGGTACGCTGGCGGGGCGGTGGGGGTCCACGGTGGGTGCACTGCTGCTGGCTTCCTCGCGCAGCGGGAGGTTGGGCTGCTCCCGGACCCAGAGCCAGGCTTGGAGAGGGGCTCCGTGGACACATCGCACGGGCCCTCTGGAGGCTTTCAGGGCCCCTTTGACCCCTGCTGCTCACGCCCCTGCCACTCGTCCTGGACACAGGCCTCTGTGGCAGGTGCCCCCTCCCTGAGGCCCGGGGCTCTCTGCACACCACGCAGGGAGTCCTACCCCTTTTCGGGGCCCCTAGGCCTCCGGGGGACCCGGAGGATGGTGCCCCTGCCACCTGGCCCCTGGGATTGGTCAGGACAAGGATCTGGCCCACTGTGATAGGAAGGAAGTGGGGAGAGGGAGGGCGGAGAGCGCCCACCGCACGTGCTGGGTCAGGGAGGGGCGGCCCCACGGCTCGCCCCGCCCCCTGACCCCTGACCCGGGGTTTCCGCCGCAGGTGCAGGTCAACAGGCAGGCCGTGGCGCTGCCCTACACCAAGTTCGGGCTGCAGGTGTATGAGTCGGGCATCAACTACATGGTGGACATACCCGAGCTGGGCGCCCTCATCTCCTACAACGGCCTCTCCTTCTCCATCCGGCTGCCCTACCGCCTGTTTGGCAACAACACGAAGGGCCAGTGTGGTGAGCCCCTGACCCCTGCACCCCGGCCTGGGGAGGATGGCCTGGCAGAGGATGGCCTGGCAGAGGCTGGCCACGGGAGCTGCTCCCCCAGGGGTGGCTCTCCACACTGCTCAGGCCCCCACAGGCCCCCCAGCCCCGTCTGGGTCTGGTTCCTGTGGGAAGCCAGTAGGAGCCTCATCTGTGCCCTTAGGCCTGGCCAGAGGACCACCAGGGACCTGGGCTGGAGTAGGGGGTCCCGGGGGCTTGCCCAGCTGCACAGCTGGAGTGGGGGTCCCGGGGGCTTGCCCTGCTGGACGGTTGGGCCTGGTGTGAGTTCACGTGGCCTGCCCACCCGCACAGGCACGTGCACCAACAACACCTTGGACGACTGTGTGCTGCCCAGTGGGGAGAGCATTGGCAGCTGTGAGGTCGCAGCTGACTACTGGGTGGTGAACGACCCCTCCAAGCCACGCTGTCCCCACAGCAGCTTCACCACCAGGCGCCCAGCCATCTCGCCTTCTGTGGGCACCAGCAGCTCCCCCATGAAGAGCTGTGTGTCTCCACTCTGTGAGCTCATCAAGGACAGGTGATCCGCCCCGCAAGCCGCACCCCCACCTGGTCTGCCAAGGACCCCCGGCCAGCTGCACCCCCACCCGGTCTGCCACGGATAAGCCGCTGGCGCTGGGCCTGGGGCTAGGAAGGCAGATGGCAGTCACAGCGGGGTCAGGACTTGGGCTCCTGTAGGGTATCAAGGGCCCTTTGTGACTCCCCCCCATTCCATCTCTCTTGACTCCTGGGATGGTGCAGTGTCTGCTGAGTGCAAAGGCTGGGGTAGACCAGTTGACCTATGACAGAGTTAGCATCCACAACTGATGTTGGGGAGGGGAATTTGGGCTTAGAGAGGGGACCAAAGCTGGTATCCATGGGAGCAAGCCTGTCATCCCCAGAGGTGTGTGCGTGGAGGTCAGGATGGCCCCTGCCAGCCTTGTTGGGGGACTTTGGCCCCTGGTGACCACTTAGACGCAGACCTTCCCTGTCTGGGGGCCAAGCATGGTGTGCATCCTTTGGCCTCAGTGCTGGCTGCCACGGCCTCAGGCCAGCCCGTGCCCACGAGGCCAGCCCTGATGCTTTGCTCCCACCCTCAGCCCACGGGCATCTGTCTGGTGGTACAGGCTGAGCTGGGCCCCCGAGGGGGTGCAGCCCAGATGGAGGTGCCGGGCAGGGGCATGTGAGAGGCTGGGGGCACTGGCCAGCCCGTGACCTGCTGTCCTCCTCCACAGCTTGTTCGCCCAGTGCCATGCCCTGGCGCCTCCCCAGCACTACTATGAAGCCTGCCTGTTCGACAGCTGCTACGTGCCTGGCTCGAACCTGGAGTGTGCCAGCCTGCAGACCTACGCGGCCCTATGTGCCCAGGAGGGCATCTGCGTGGACTGGCGGAACCATACTGGCGGGGCCTGCCGTGAGTGCCCGCCTGCCCCGTCCGATGCTCAGCGGGAATCCTGGCTGGGGTGGGGGGCCAGGCCGCCGGAAGACCGGCCCTGTTAAGCCCCTGTGGGGCTGGACCCCCGCCTCCTGACTCGGGACAGCATGAGGGGCTGAGGCCACGTTGGGCCTGTATGGGATGGGGTCCCATGTGGGAGGGGCTGGGCGGTGGTCAGTGGGGTGGGTGGAGGCCCAGGCCCCTCCCTCTGACGCTGCCCCCTCCCCAGCGGTGACGTGCCCCGCCCACCGTGAGTACCGGGCCTGTGGCCCCGTGGAGGAGCCCACCTGTAAGTCTAGGTCAGTCATGGTGGAGGCGCTGGGAGGGCTGGCTGCCCCTCCGCCCTGCTCTGGGAGGCTCTGTCTGGGCCTGGTGGTCCCACCCGTCCCCACACCCATCTCCTGATGCCCTCCCTTCAGCCCCTCCCAGCCGAACAGCACACGCCTGGTGGAAGGCTGCTTCTGTCCCGAGGGCACCACCAGCTACGCGCCCGGCTTCGACGTCTGCGTGGACCTGTGCGGTAGGCTGCCCGCGCACGCCCTCTGCCTTCCCCTTCCTGGGGCTGAGCCCAGCGCCTGTGGCATGGCCCGAGCTCACAGGACCTGTCTTCTCTCTCTCCTAGGCTGCGTGGGGCCCGACAACGTGCCCAGAGAGGTAGGCTACCCCCTCGGCGCTGGGGCCAGGCCCTCCCACGAGCCCTGTGTTTTGGGGGACAGGTTGGGGTGGGATGAAAACCTGGGACCCTCAGAGGCAGACTAATGAGTCCCTGAAGTCCTGGAAGGTTGAGGTAGCACGGGGCCCATCCACCTGCCCCCCCCATCTGCCCACTAGCCGCCGGATGCTCTGGCTACACCTGCGGCCTGTCTGCTGTGTGGTGTGCGTGACTCCTGCACGTGGCTGGTTCTTTAGCTCCGCTCTGCATGAGCCCCGCAGACACGCCTGGTGCCTCTGCCACGTGCCAGGCCCGGGGACCACGTGGGAGCAGGTCCCAGTCCTGGTGCGAGTGTCCTCCCCAGAGCCTGCCCCAGGCGCGCGGAGGTGGGGAGGGCTTGGGGTTTCCCGCCAGTCGCTCGATGGGCCAGGCGGCGCGGTACTGTCTTGCGCTGACGGGGGTGGGCTCCCCCTCCCCTGCAGTATGGGGAACACTTCGAGTTCGACTGCAAGGACTGCATTTGCCTGGAGGGCGGGAGCGGCATCATCTGCAAGCCCAAGACATGCCGGCCGGAGCCCCGGCTGGAGTGTGAGGAGGACGGCACCTATGCGTTCACGGAGGTGGACCCCACCAACACCTGCTGCAACCTCACCTCCTGCAGTAAGGCCCCCGCTGGCAGGGTGCGCGGTGGCCAGGCTCTAGTGTGGTCCTGGAGGCCCGGGCCTCAGGCATGTCTGCGGGGCGTGGGCGCTGGGCAGGCAGGTGGTGAGGGGGCCCAGGCCCAGGACCCGCTTTGCACGGGGCGGTGTCTGGGCTCAGTGGGCGAGGGGCCGCGCTCACCAGCGTGTCCCCACCACCTGCAGAGTGCAACGCCAGCCTGTGCAGGGAGAAGCCCCTGCTGTGCCCACTGGGCTTCCAGGTGAAGAGCGAGATGGTGCCCGGGAGGTGCTGCCCTCTGTACTCGTGTGGTAGGTGGGCTGGGCCAGGCGGGAGTGAGGCCTAGGGTGGGCAGGGCTCCGACTGGGTGTCGGGGGGCAGAGGATGGCTGAAGGGGCTCCTGCCTGGGGGCTCAGGTTCTGCCTGGTGGATGCACCCAGCCCAGCCTGTCCACTGGCTGTGCATCCACCCCAGGGTCTGGCAGGACAGTCTGACGCTTGTTCTGGTTCTTTCTCCCAAGTACCCAAGGGCGTGTGTGTGCTGGAGCACGCCGAGTATCAGGTGAGCCTGCTGGCTGTGGGGAGCGGGGCGGGGGCACAAAGGGGCCTTCGGGGGCAGGGTCCCGGGCAGGCTCGGCCGGTGGGGGCCCCTCTCCCGGCAACGCGGCGGCGTCCTGGAGGTGGGGAGGCACCGCGTGGGCCCGCCTCACCCGCCTTCCCTGTGCCTGAAGCCCGGCTCTCCAGTCTATTCATCCAAGTGCCAGAACTGCGTCTGCACCGACCGCAGGGATGACGCCACGCAGCTCAACGTCATCACCTGCAGCCACGTGCCCTGTAACACCACCTGCAGCCCCGTAAGCAGCCCCGGCCCCGGCAGGCTGGCCCCGCCCATCCTCACCCCACGTGACCCTGCCTCTTCCCACGCCAACCCGCCGGTGTCCTGCAGGGCTTTGAGCTGGTGGACGCCCCCGGGGAGTGCTGCAAGAAGTGTGAGCAGACCCACTGCATCATCAGCCTTCCCGGTCAGCAGAGCCTGGTCCTGAAGGTGCGTCCCCTGGCCCTGCCCGCAGGGCCGAGCATGTCCTGTCTCCCGTCAGGACTCCGGTCCTGGGGTTTGGGCCTCCGGGTGACTTTTCCAAGTCAGGCCACTGGGATAGGACATGGACCATCTGGGGACTGTGGGCCGCGGGTCCCTGGGCCCCTCCTGGTGTCACTGGCTCCGCAGCTCTGGGCCAGTGGGCTGCACTTGGCGAGGTGGTCAGGGGGCTGCCCGGGGCTCCCGCCAGGCCTCACACAGAACCCCCCACCCCGTCCGCAGCCCGGAGACATGAAGAGTGACTCCCTGAACAACTGTACCTTCTTCAGCTGCGTGAAGATACACGACCAGCTCATCTCCTCTGTCTCCAACATCACCTGCCCCGACTTTGACCCCAGCACCTGCGTCCAGGTGAGCGGGCCCGTCCCTGCTGGAGTGGGGACCCTGATGTGCCTGAGGGGCTGGGCTCCATCGCAGGACGTGGCAACGGCTGCAGGCTCCGCCCTGGGCCCTTCTACAGGAACTGCCCTGTCCACCCTCATGGTAGGGGGCATCACTGTCACCACTGGGGGAGGTCTGGGCTCCCAACTGTCTCTCCTTCCCTCTAGGGCTCCATCACGCTCATGCCCAACGGCTGCTGCAGGAAATGTGAGTGTGGGCCTCAGGCGGGTGGGCCCTGCGGCCCAGGCCTGGCAGGGGCTCCCCCCAGACCCCTTGAGGGGAGGGAGAGGAAGGGGATGGTGCCCTGGGAACCCCGTCCCTTCTGGGCCACTCCCGGCTGGATGCTGACTTTGAGGACATCACCTGATGTGCCCAGGAAGCCTGCATCCTTTCTAGGAGCCCATGATGACCCAGCTTGCTTGAGGGCCCTGGAGGAGGTCGCGCTTGGGAAGGCAGGAGGAGGCCGTGAGGGGCGCAGGAGGGCCCCGGAAGGCGGGGACACCCTCCCAGCCTCTGCCTCTCTCCCCAGGCGTCCTTCGCAATGAGACCAGCGTCCCCTGTGCTACCGTCCCTGTCGTGAGGGAGATTTCACACAATGGCTGCACCACGTTGGTCTCCATGAATGACTGCTCTGGGTCCTGCGGGACCTTTGCCATGTGAGTCCTGGGCGCCGGGGCCCCGGTGGGGGCGGTGGGGGAGGCTGTGCCCGCCCCGGTGGTCGGGGGCGGCCCTGACCCCGGCCTTCCCCCAGGTACTCGGCCGAGGCCCAGGCCCTGGACCACAGGTGCTCCTGCTGCAAGGAGCATCGCACCAGCCAGCGTGAGGTGACGCTGCAGTGCCCGGACGGGGGCACACTCCGCCACACCTACACCCACATCGACAGCTGCCTGTGCCAGGACACCCTGTGTGAGCCGCCCGCCCAGCGCAGGGCCCGGCGCTCCTCGCCCCTCGGGGTGGCCCTTGGGCGGGGGTGAGGGGCGGGCCCGGCCCCCACCATTCCGCGTCCCCTTCCCGCTGACCCCTCAGCTGCCTCGTCTCCTGGGCTGACTTTCTCTCTGCGGATATTTATTTTCTGAGCCTTTGTTCGATTCTTTGCTTTCCAAAATAAACTTGGGCAGAGACTCCGTGGTGGTGTGCTTTAGTAGCTGCTGGGGGCCTGGGTGGGTTGCGGTGCACGGCCCGGGTGTGGCCGCTTCCAGGGGGGTGCGTGGGGCCTGGCTGCCAGGCTCTGGGGGAGGGATACGGGGGAGGCTGTACACGGGTGCCTGTCCCGCCCTTGGCATGCACAAAGCCCTCGCTGCGCCTTCAAGATGCAGGAGGCTACCCCCTGGGGGAGGCCCTCCGAGCCTGAATTTGTGAAAAGAAGCCACTGGGCTGCACTTGCACCTGTTTGTGTGTGTGTGAGTATGTGTTTGCACATGTGACCGTGTGAGTATGCACACATTTGCATATGTGCGTGTGAAATGCACTTCCTCCTGGGGAGATAGAAAGAGGCCTGGTCCTGAACCACAGATTGGGAGCAACATGGGGCAGCACGCCCCACCTGCTGCAAAAAATGACAAGAAGTGACCTTATGGGTCCTCCCGGGCCGCTGAAAAGCAATTGGCAGGGCTGCCAGACCCTTCAGACCAACCTGACGGAGCTCCAGCGGGCTCTGGGGACCTGGGCTGGAGGCAGCCCTGTGTGTGTGTCCACATGTCCACCTGCCCACGTGTGTCCACCTGCCCACACACGTCATGTGTCCACTCACCTGTGTGTGTCCACTCGCCCGCATGTGTTGGGGAGCTGCGTTGTGAGCTGGCTGAGCTATCAGAGTGGGAATTCTAGGGAGGGATCGAATGACCCTTTGCGGCCAAGGGCAAGGCTGGTGGCCGGGGACCCTGAGGTTGGGAGGCGGCTTGTTGCCTTCTCTCTGACTGGTGGTGAGGGAGGGGCCCTGGGTCCCTGGGCTGGGGACCCTTGAGCACGGTAACCTGCCTGTGGGCATTGTTGGAGGCCTACGAGGAGGGTGCTGATCCCCAGGGCCCAGGTATGGCCCTCAGTACCCTTTACCCCAGACACCTGTCCGCCACATTACCGCCTGACTGATGGATAAGCGCTGGGAGAAGCCGCCCCAGGGCCAGCGGGCTTGCCCAGGGGAGACCCAGGCCGCCCCCTCCATCCACTGCCCTCCCCTCGGCCGCCCGGCCCCCTCCCGGCCCACCCCCCACGGACACCAGGTCAGGACCCCGCAGCAGCAGCCCCAGCCTGGGTCCCGGGTCCCGGGTCCCAGTGACCCCAGGAGCGCACACGGCCGCTGGCCCTGTCCTGCAGACTCCTGGGCAGTCAGCGGGCCTGAGCTGGCCTTGGAGCCGCCACGTCCCTCCCTGGAGGCTGAGGCAATGGGGGCTGCCTGCCCGGCTGCAAGGCCGTGAGGGGGTCCCGGGAGCCTCGGATCCAGCCCTGCACCCACCTCAGGCTCTGAGCTCTCCCTGTGCCCAGCCTGGCCGTGGCGGCCGTGAGCTCTAGAGGTGGACGCCAGCCCGCCTGGCAGCACCAGCCCCGGGGCCTGCGGGACAGGAGTTGGTGGTGGGAGCTGTGGCCTGTGAGGCGGGGGGCGCCTCAGGCTCTGCCCAGCCTCCCCCTGAGAAGCGGAGGCTCCCAGGTGACCGGGCAAGCGTGGGCTGCACTCCTGGACCCGCGGCTTTAAGCCCAACAGCCCTGGCTTGTCACTTCTGGACACATGTTTTCATGAGGTTTTGCTTGGAAGGAGGTTTTCGGCTTAGAAATAGTTTGATGACCACCAGCAGACGGTCATGGAGGCAGCAGCCCCAGGCCCAGAGGAGTCAGGGGGCACCTCCTGCCCCACCCACACTGGACGAATGAACCAGAGAACAGCTGAACATACGCATGCATGCCTTGGTGACCCCAGGCTCCCCCCAGACCCCAGTGGGGGCAGGGAGGGGTGGGAGGTGGTGGATGCTAAGTCATTTCAGTCATGTCTGACTCGGTGACTCTAGAGTGTGGCCCTCCAGGCCCCTCCAGGCTCCTCTGTCCACAGAATTTCCCAGGCAGGAATCCTGGAGTGTGTGGCTATTCCCTCCTCCAGGGGATCTTCTTGACCCAGGAACTGAACCCACACGTCTTACGTCTCCTGTACTGGCAGGTGGGTTCTTTACTATTAGCACCAGCTGGGGAGCCCAGGGGGTGGTATCCTTTCATCACTCTTCTCAGGTCATCTATTTCTGCGCCCACCCCCGTTTCTTGGTGAGGGCTCTGAGGGTCCGTTGTCCGCCGGGACTCCTGCACCGCGGGCAGTGGCCCTGCCCCTCTGCTGTGGGGCAACTGTCTTGGCCTGCCCACCAGGCTCTCGGGCAGAGCTGTGACGGGGGAAAGGTGTGAGATGGTACATGTTCCCCACTGCCTGGGGGGCCCAGCGTGATGCCTTTGGTAAATGGGGGCTTTCCGGAAATCTGGGGAACAGGTCCCCCCACCAAAGCCCCTGCGAACGCCCCCCCGACCCCGGTCACAGACACGTTGCAGGGCTGTTGTCCAGTCACTCAGTCGTGTCTGACTCTGTGACCCCGCGGACTGCAGCACGCCCGGCTTCCCTGTCCTCCACCATCTCCTGGAGTCTGCTCAAACTCATGTCCATCGCGTCGGTGATGCCATCCAACCATCTCATCCTCTGTCGTCCCCTTCTCCTCCTGCCCTCAGTCTTTCCAGCAACAGGGTCTTTTCCAATGAGTTGACTCTTCACACAAGTGGCCAAAGTATTGGAGTTTCAGCTTCAGCATCAGTCCTTCCAAAGAATATTCAGGGTTGATTTCCTTTCAGATGGACTGGTTGGATCTCCTTGCTCACCAAGAGACTTTCAAGAGTTTTCTCCAGAGTCACAGTTCAAAAGCATCAGTTCTTTGGCTCTCAACCTTCTTTATGGTCCAGCTCTCACATCCGTACATGACTATAGGAGAAACCATAGCTTTGACTATATGCACCTTTGTTGGCAAAAGGCTGTCTCTGCTTTTTAATACACTGTCTAGGTTTGACATAGCTTTTCTTCCAAGGAGCAAGCATCTTTTAGATTCCATGGCTGCAGTCACTGTCCACAGTGATTTTAGAGCCCAAGAAAATAAAGTCTGTCTCTGTTTCCATTTTCTCCCCATCTATTTGCCATGAAATGATGGGACTGGATGCCATGATCTTCGTTTTTTTGAATATTGAGTTTTAATTCAGCTTTTTCACCTTTATCAAGAGGCTCTTTAGTTCCTCTTCACTTTCTGCCGTTAGGGTGGTGTCATCTGCATATCTGAGGTTGTTGATATTTCTCCTGGCAATCTTGATTCCAGTTTGTGATTCATCCAGCTCAGCATTTCATATGACATACTCTACATATAAGTTAAATAAGCAGTGTGATGATATACAGCGTTGAGGTACCCTTTTTGAACCAGTCTGTTGTTCCATGTCCGATTCTAACCATTGCTTCTTTACCTGCACATGGGTTTCTCAGGAGACAGGTTAGGTGGTCTGGTATTCCCATCTCTTGCAAAGAATTTTTCAGTTTGTTGTGATCCACACAAGCAAAGGCTTTAGTGTAGTTGATGAAGCAGAAGTAGATGTTTTTCTGGAACTCTCTTACTTTTTCTAGGATCCAGTGGATATTGTTAATTTGATCTCTGGTTCCTCTGCCTTTTCTAAATCCAGCTTCTACATCTGGAAGTTCTTAGTTCACATACTGTTGAAGCATAGCTTAAAGAATTTTGAGCATTATCTTGTTAGCGTGTAAAATGAGTGTAAATGTGCAGTAGTTTGAACATACTTTGCATTGCCCTTATTTGGGATTGGAATGAAAACTGACCTTTTCCAATCCTGTGGCCACTGCTGAGTTTTCCAAATTTGCTGCTGTATTGAGTGCAGCACTTTAACAGCATCATCTTTTAGAATTTGAAATAGCTTAGCTGTACTTCTATCACCTCGACTAGCTTTGTTTGTAGTAATGCTTCCTAAGGAATCAAGAGTGCCATGAGAAATATCAACCACCTCAGACATGCAGGTGATACCATCCTATGGCAGAAAGTGAAGAGGAACTAAAAGAGCCTCTTGATTAGGGTGAAGGAGAGTAAAAAGCTGCCTTAAAACTTGAGATTAAAAAAACTAAAATTATGGCATCTGGTCCCATTACTTCATGGCAAATAGATGAGGAAAAAGTGGAAACAGTGACAGATTTTATTTTCCTGGGCTCCAAAATCACTGTGGATGATGACTGCAGCCATGAAATTAAAAGACGCTTGCTCCTTGGAAGAAAAGCTATGACAAGCCTAGACAGAGTACTAAAAAGCAGAAACATCACTTTGCTGACCAAGGTCTGTACAGTCAGAGCTATGATTTTTCCAGTAGTCGTGTATGGATGTGAGAGCTGGACCATGAAGAAGGCTGAGCACCAAAGAATTGATGCTTTTGAACCGTGGTGTTGGAGAAGACTCTTGAGAGTCCCTTGGACTGCAAGGAGATCCAACCAGTCCATCCTAAAGGAGATCAGTCCTGAATATTCATTGGAAGGACTAATGCTAAAGCTGAAGCTCCAATATTTTGGCCACCTGATGTGAAGAACTGACTCACTGGAAAAGATCCTTATGCTGGGAAGGACTGAAGGTGGGAGGAGAAGGAGACGACAGAGGAGGAGATGGTTAGATAGCATCACTGACTCCATGGACGTGAATTGAGCAAGCTCCGGGAGATGGTGAAGGACGGGGGAGCCTGGTGTGCTGCGGTTCAGTGGGTAAAAAAGAATGAAAGAAAAAAAAAAAAAAGAGCAGAACATAACTTAGCAACTGAGCATTAAGACTAGAAGGAAATGCTGCGCCTTTGTTAAGGGATATTGATCAAAAAAGGCAGCAAACATCAGACTTAGTGCTGGGGCTTTAGAGTCACTCCAGGAAGGCCTGGGGCGTGTGTCCTGCAACATCCAGCATGCCCCTTGGGCCCTGGCAGGAGC